TTCTTTGGAACGTAGTTCCTCTAGAGGCCTTGGAGGCCAAGTGCGGATGTTCCCCGAGCCCAGCATGAAGCTCACTGCTCGGGGGTTAGACCTAGGTTGAGAACTTCCTGTTCTTGTGATCAATCACGAAGGGCCCGAGAACTCTGAGTGAAGCTGTTCAGATCTCTTTGCTCCTTTGATAGCCAAGTTCAAAGCTGGAGCACTGTTGAACACAAGAAGACGGTGAGCAGAACTCGGATGCCTTTATCCTTGAACCTACACAAATCGTGGATGCAATCACAAAGCTAAATGCTCCTTGGTACGAAAGACGGCCCAAGCTCTCATCCCCTCCTCGTAGGAGTTCCCCTCAACTGCCCCTCCGCTTAGACGATGAAACTTGATCGGGCGTGCCGACCTCCCCCACCTTCGGCTGCTCTGCCCAGAGCTCGAACCTCTTAAAGACGCACCGTTGCATTGGAGCCCCGAATGGCCAATGAGATCTGCGTAGCTTGCCTTCAGCTCAACGTTGGAGCTGCAGCCATTGCTTGACCTGCGGCATAGTGTTGTATTCCAGCATCCACAGAAGGGTGACTTGGCCTGGATCGGCAATCCTCACGGTCCCCATCACATCGTTGCTCGAGCCCCCAAACCCATCACACATCCCACCTGGGAATATTTCCCACATGATCGATTATCGCGCCCAAGCTCCTTATCAGTCCTCGAGAAGAAGTGACGAAGTCTTTCTCCGCCTCACAGTTGACAGCGGATGGCACCGAGCAGGTGGAGGATCTGAGCGTAGGGGCCTGCAGGCGAATTCGCTTCGCACGGTCATGGCCCGAGCAGCAACCTGCACGCCACCCATCCAAATTGAGTCTTGCGAAATGCTCTGGCATTGGCTCTACTTTCACATGCAGGAACCGTTGGCTGTCGAGAGGGGAAATCGGGGACGGCTCGGCACTTGGCCGAAGTTTGAGCGATACAAATCTATTGGTCTTGAGCAACAGGCACGAGCGAGGACGTGAATAACCTCAATTGCGAAGGTGGACTTAGTGGTCGAGAGAACCAGGATGGTACTGGGGCAAATCGCAGATATCGCTATCTAGTCGAGGCGATTGATGATCCGCATTCAAAGTGAATGAGACAAAATGGCGTCAGGACTGTCTATCAGATGAACATGTACAAGTACTCATTGTACTTACTGTCGTTGGCGTTTTAGATGGCGCTGGGCGATGTCTCGCCCTATTGCGATCAATTATGCCGCCGATACTTATCAGTTCATGCGAGAAAGCACGAAATCTGAAGCCTCGTGGCAAGCACGATGAACTGGTGAACTGTGCAGGTGTCGCACGTGGACTTGACGACCAACGAGAGCAAGGAGAACTTGAAACGAGACTTCGAATGCGGGGAAGAGCAGATAAAATCTTGCGGCTGATTGGCACGAAGTTCATGAATCGAAACAGAGTGGAGGTGGCTTGAGACATGTCTGGTTTGAAGATGCGGTCAGAGCGGCGGAGCGAATTGCGGTGCGTATCGATCGAACCAAGCTAACCACGAGTGAAGGCTCGAACTCGAGGTCGATGATGCGATAAAAAGCCTTGGATCACGAACTGTGACGGTGGCTTGCAGTTTTATGGAGATTCAGGTGTTTTTCGGAAGGTGGCCGAGAAAGGAAGACTCTGTGGGGTAGCAAGGGTTCGATATGTGGCTGCAATTGGCGTGCGCAAAGTTCCGATAGCGCCTCAAATTCTTTCCCTAATGACTTTTCAAGAGCCACTATGACAGAGCTGACGTTAGAATTCAAGAGAGTCGCGTTGCCAGTTCTCTGGTGCTGAAGTGCAGACAAGCTCTGCGGCCGCAATTATAACGGAGCCGTTCGGCCATTCAAAAAGGGGGCACTCCACCAGCTCCACCGCACTGGTTCCTCCCCGCAAAGCTAGAGCGGCCAAGCCAAAAAAAACAATCCACTTCCGGGCGGGAGGTTCTGACAGCGGTGTAGTCCTTCCAGATTCGGATTCCTAGTCATGCGGGCTTGCAACACAAATTGGGGTGCGTTGCGAAAGTCATTGGTTATTGCACAAAGTATCATTGATTATCTCCAGCCACCAACCTCCATGGAGCATTGAGTGAGGAACCGACGGGAAAAACTGGTTCCTGGCTCCGGACATTATTATTTCTGGAACAGGGCAGGCTCCGTTGGCGCCGAAGTGTCCCTGCTGTATTAAACGGAAACTTATTGTGAGGGTTCCGGGGAGCCCTGGAACAACGTTGCAAACTTTGGTAACGAGGGGCAAGGTTCTCCCTACCAGCACCGAAGCCGCCGGATCGAGATTCGAGAACACGAACCAGGATGTTGACGCGCTTGAATACGAACTGATAATGCTTTTGTTAGAGGTCGCCAGTTCGTTTCATCTGATGTACGGAGTACGGAGGTACAGCGCATAAAGATAGTAATAGCACCAGCAAGGGTTTCTTGCGCACGTACATTTTCCAATGTAGCTTTGCCAAAGTGAGTAAAGAAAACAAGCCAAACGAGGGATTTAATACCTGATCTATTCAAGTCCTTCGCCAGACTAGGGGTCCCTTGCTAGTGCTATTACTATCTTTATGGGCTGTACCTCCGTACCTCCGTAGTGCTTGGACGATGGAGGGGAGATGGTTCTTATCGAGGTATCATCTCTCATCGTGAATAGCAATCGTCATCGCTGGTGGCTTGCTCTCTGAAAGAATTGTTGACGTGCCACAAGGGTGATTTCAGAGCCATCTAATCAGGGTGCCTTATCGCGTTGTTATGGGACAACTTTGAAGGAGCCTCGATAGCCTGGAGTTTGTAGGTTGGTAATCGAATTTTGCCCCCTATCTGATGCAGGTGCAGAAATAGTCACCAACGAGAATCAGTGTCGTAGAAGGAACCGAACCCTGAGCCTCCTCACTTTGACTTAGGATCATGGTATTGATTGCATTGCGATCAACAGTAAGCTTGGGAATGATGCTGTCATCGCTTCAAGAGAAAAAGATTTCCGCCGATCTTTGAGGGGGCATTGCATTACATCATTCGCCTCCTGTGCTGAGCCAGCGATGAGTAAGATGGCGATTATGATGACTTGGTCGTCACATCTTCTCGTTCTATCAGAACTGTGCCACTGTGATGCGGCGATCGTGTTATGATAGGTGATTTCCAGCTTGTTGAGACCTCGATAAGCACTCAGGAGGCGAGACTAATGGAGGTTGAAGGAGGTGGACGACTCTGCAGCTGCTTCCCGACATTGCCGATGTGGACGAGAATCGACATCGCGCAGGCGGACAGAGCGGAACCGTTGCAACGCTGGAATCAGTTTCAGCTCCCCGAGCCCAAGAGCCCCAATGATATTCGAAGATCGATTCCCGTCAGGGGAATTTGCATTTCAAAGTATATGGATATACATATCCGCCCCGGCCGACCGTCAAGTCGGTAGAGCGATATTCAGGTACGGAACGGTACACCCAGGGATTTCAAATACCGCGCCGAATTCCCGACACGTAACCAAAGGCCCAAAGGCGACAAAAAGTGGAAATTATTGCTTTCGGAAAAATGGAATGGAATTGTCTCTCCGTAGTTTGCTGAAAAGTTTGTGTCGCACTCCTCCGTCCAAGGAGGAGGCACCTGCCATAACTTGTACGTCTATTCGTCCACAATCCGCTAAAATAGAAGTCTCGCAATATGCTTAGAGTTATTCTGCCTTCCACCAGTGTCACGCCTCCGGACGTTGCCGAAACTAATATTTACGGCTGAAAAGACCTGGGCGATCTTGGTCATGAGGGGGCCTCCTTCCAGACTGTCGAAATTGCTTCGAAATTAATTGGAACCGGATTTGGGAAGGGCGGTTAAAACAGAATCCGCTAAATAAAGGCCAGGGTTTCTGTCCTATGCTGTCAAGTATACGGCTTCCTCAGGCTTCCAGCTTCCAGGGCAAAGATTTTCGTGATTTGCGTGTGTGCCAGAAATTGGTGAGTTTTGGCGAGTGACCTGCCAAGGGCTGCCCGTTGAAGAAGATCATTGTCTGTGCGAATCTTGATTGTTTCAAGCGTGGGGCCGAGGATGAACGGCGGGGCAATCCAAGCTGACAGACCCCTTATCCACCACAGTTGACTGCAACAACCAGCGGGGCACAACGCCAATCGGTGGATGCTTGTAGATAGCTGACAGCAGGTTAATGAAGTCATTCCTGCGTTGACAGCCTGATCAGCGTCGACAGCGCTGCAGCGAAGGCAAAATCCCAAAGGGCTGCTGGCTCCACTCTGCACGACACTCACATGTGCTACCCCAGAATTGGCCAATGATAGGTATTTCCCTGGATCAAGACGGTTGAGCACGACCTCGCTGCTGGTAATTCCCCTGAAAGTCTTTACCGCAAATTGTAGGCTATGTCCGGGGATGGCGCGAGTCCAGGCCCACAGCTCGGAGAGTGTCGTGACACAGTAACGGCTAGCCTATGCTATGACACACGACCGTCTGTTGCGCTCCATCTGTGCAGAGCCTGTTTGTGCAAGCTGTACCACTGACCCCTCATCCTCCAAGGCGCAGAGCCAGAGCCAGACTTCTCAAACCTGTTGTTAGTAACCTGCAACCCGGCGGTAAGTGGGCGGCAGCAATGGATAGCAATGTTCAGATCTCGCCCGTGCTTGGCGCCCTGGTCGTACGTGGGATGGCAGCGACCAAACCAGAGCAGCAGCCCAGCCGCAATCTGCAGATGATGGGGTTCCCTCCCTGGTGTACCCGGTGATTTGACAGCTCGGCGGGCGTTTTTTCGCATTCTGTCTCACAGGGATGCATCTCGGGGGTGGCTTCCCGCTTGTGCGGCCTCAGTGGACGACGCCCATGTCTTCCCATCCCCACGGCCCACCCCTCCGCTCCCAGAATGGCTGCTGAATGTGCATCGAGGCCCGGGGCGTTGCATGGGAGGGGGGCTTGACGACAGACGACGACTGCAGTCGAGCTTGGCTGCTTCGGAACTCCAATGCGAGCAAGTGCTGAGCTCCTCCGCCTCCTTCCATCCAGCAATCCTTCGTATGGCTCGAGCTGCCCCCAAGAGTCCCACTCCCTCCCTTTCAATCACCATGCGCACGCACCAGGCGCCGTGCCCTTGAATGGGCCCTAGAGAGAGCAGCGAAAGGGTTGCGTTGGCTGCAGGGGCTGCATGACATCTCGACGCAAAATATTTAGTCTGTTCTCTCTTCGTTCCCCTTGGAGCTTATTGTCGCCTTGCCTCAGTCTGGCCGTGGCTCTGAAAAAGAAGATCGCACCGCAACTCTGCTCCTGGTCGATTCCTGGTTGTGCTGGCTCTCGGACCATCCCCGACGTTGTGCCGTTCCTGTGCCTGGTGTTGTGCTGGGAGTTGTGCGAATTGTGGGGAGAACGCAAGTACTTGAAGATCGGAAGCCCTCATTTCGAGCAAAGACGCGCTACTGCTGAGAGCACCCACTCACTCCTAGTTCAAGGCCAGCCTCGCCTCAGACATTACCTTCTCTCCGCCCACCTTCAATTCCGAACTTTGCGGCCTCATCACTTTCCAACACACACTCCCCACTCGTTGTAAGACAACACAACGTCTTGACAGTGCCGCCACGCGTTCGAGGTTGCCGTGACACGGGCGTCTCCATCAGCCTCCGATATTGTCTCCCACAGACTGCAGTCTTTCCGCTGTGTCAATCCGGACCAGCCCGTTGAACTACACTTGCTCCACCACTTGGCCTTCAGCGAAATCGCCACCATGTTGGCCGGAGATATCACCCCACATCAGCTGATCAACTTCAGCATCCTCGAGCGAGTTGGTTCAGTCTTGTCCTTGGCAGGATGTTCCTTCATTGCCATTACCTTCCTCTTTTCCAAGGCCTTCCACAAGCCAATCAACCGTCTCGTCTTCTACGCTTCCATGGGCAATGTATTCACAAACATTGCAACCATCATGGCCAGAGCAGCAGTCGAAACAAAGCATTACAACGGGCCCTTCTGCCAGTTCCAAGCCTTCTTGATTCAGATGTAAGTAATAGCGTGAACTTCGAAAAATGCTTAACTTACTTCTCCTAGGTTCATGCCAGCTGATGCTTACTGGACCTTTGCTATGGCTTTGAACGTTTTCCTGACCTTCTACTATAAATTTGGGGCAGATCAACTTCGGCGTCTGGAAAAGTACTATTTCCTGTGCTGCTACGGCTTGCCCTTCATCCCTGCTCTTACCTACCTTTTCATAACTACGGAGGAAAAGGGGCATATGTATGGAAACGCCACTCTTTGGTGCTGGGTCTCTAGCGAATGGGATATCTTCCGAATTGCCACTTTCTATGGTCCTGTCTGGTATGTGCATTGCTTCTCATATTCATTTCAAGCTCATATTTGTCCAGGGTCGTCATCCTTGGTACAATCACCATCTATGCTCGAGCAGGAAAGGATATCTTCAAGAAGAGGCAACAGCTCCGCAATTTCAGCCAACCACCGCCCGACCCAATGCCAGTCATACGCGACCCCTTCAGCTCTGTTAAGACCACCGAAATTTTCGTGACCTCGGAATCCGCCGTCAGCTCTTCCGATGAAATCGATCTCAGGCGCCTCAACGACCCAAAGGAGCCAGATGCAACTGCAAATCCTTATGGGAACATTTGCAACATCACCACCTCTCCAGGGAATCCGGGAAGTCATGGTAAACCTGGGAATCTTCAAACTCGCTGGTCTTACACCGAGAAGCCACTTCCCGCCCCGGATCGCAAAGGCTCTATTCCCGCCTCCGCTTACCAGCCTAATGCTCCCAATTCCAACCTTTATCCAACCCGCCGTTACGCTGCTATGGAAGCGAACACCGCGATCTGGTCTTACACGAAGGTTGCTGTTCTCTTTTTCTTTGCCATGATGATCACCTGGATTCCCTCTTCTGCCAACCGAGTTTACTCTGTTGTTCACCCTGGTCAAGTCTCTCTTCCTCTGGAGTATGCGTCTTCATTCGTACTCCCCCTCCAGGGCTTCTGGAACGCACTCATCTATGCAATTACCAGCTTGCCTGCCTGCAAACAAGTCTGGACCAATCTCAAGGATCGCAAGCGCTTTAGCGGTGGTGGCCTCCGCACTGTCATGGCAGCCTTCTCAGCAGAGGGTGATCGCGAGTACGCTGGAAACAGAGCCCCAGGTGGACGCAAAGGTTTCTGCCAAGACACCGAGTCAATGACCGAGCTTCAGCAGAGTCGCCCATCAACCGCCCGTCCTGCGAGCAGGGACGGCCGCTCATAAGCTCATGAATGCGTGCCCTTCTCGGCTTGCTTACTTCTTTGGCCTTTAGGCCCGGTGCGCTTGGGATTGGTGGTAATTTTTGGGCTTTAGCGAGGCGTTCCGGTCTGAGAATTTGGCCGGTATGGATGGACATCGGGGCGATTCTCTTCTTCACCTTCGCCTTATTCGCAACATTCTCACGAAATCTACATATCAACCACCCACATGCGCACCCTGATGCCGCTTTCAGCACCCGATCGCTTGCCACCTTGCCAGTTCCTTGAATTGGCAAAGACAAAGGCTGCTGGTGCGACCCTAGGATGAAAGTCATCACATGCTCGTCATATGACATACGCAAAACAAACCCTTAAACCCTTCTCTTCTGCGATATTGTCAGCACACGATTTATTTCTTTGTTATAGTGATACCACAGCAGAATGTATACTGCACTTGCTCCGATCAACGGATAAACACATATGGCTGCAGGGTCAATGATCTTCTTGTACGATAGGCTTGATACCCCATCCGTGGCAATGAATAAAAACAGAGTTGAATTAAAAATTCTCTTTGCTGTGACTTCGATATCCATTTCTCCCTATGTCATATTTCTTCATGAGTATCGTGTTGAGGACGCTCCCCGTGGTTCTCTCTAGAGATCTTAGCTTAAGCACATTCTGCGAATAACTTCCTGAGCGCCTAGTGGCTGATATCTTCAAATTGCTCACGGCATCTAGATTGTCTAGGTTGAAAGATGGCTGTCTTGAAGTTTGTAGCCTGCGAAATATAGGACCACTGCGTTTTGATTCCTTCAGGCTGCGTTGATTCTTTACCATTTGACTTGTTGCCAGGCCTCTTAGACATGACTCCAGTGCTTTCATTTCAGATGTTTTACTACAATACCGAGAATATCTCGCGACTTCCAAATCAATTCACATCCTTTGTAATAAGGCTACGTAGCCTCGTTTTCAGTAGGGCACGTTAGTTCCGACCTATCCGAAATATTTGGTCCTTGACCCCTCGCCACTGTTTGGCATAACCCCTTGCTACAGTTACTGCTTGCACCTATCTTATGCATTCAAAATGATAGACTATTGCTTCACCTTTGCCCATCATGTTCAGTACCGTCATTATCCTTCACAGCCGCGCAAGTATAGAAGAGTTGAGCGATTCAAAGATCGCAGGGCCTTGGTAGCACCTCATAGAAGATCCTTTATATTACGTAGCACTGATATTCTACAGGTGGCTCTCGCCTTCATTATAGCGGGCGTAACTGAAATATGTTTGTGATCAGATTTACTACTCTTGGCAATTTTGCAGGCATATCAATGAGGATATAGAAGGAAGTAGTGATCTTTTTCAAACTTACTCCATTCAAATCAGACATGTCCTTAGAGCTTGTTATTTTGTGATGATCTGTTGGACACAAGTTGTGTCGGTTATAGGGCGACCTCAGTCAAGGGCAACGTTAGTTTGGCCATTCAGTCCGGCTTGGAAAGTCCCCAGTCTAGCGCAGTAGAACTTTTCCCTACCGTAGTTTTAAAATATAGTATAAACTGTGGTTTGACTACTAAACTACGGTTCGAATGCAGTTTTCCCGGTCTAGTGCAAAGTTTTAAGCCGTAAAGGTCTAAAATATCTCAGCATAGGAAATGAAATCCAGGCCGTGGTCTCAGAATGCAGTTTACACGATTCCCTACCCTGGGTCACACAACGTGCCGAAATATTTGTAACAAAACAAGCCCAGGTTTATTTGAGAAGCGTCCTAGCTGTTTATCCCTTCCTAAATACGCAAACCTTCAGGAACCTCATCGACCTCTTCCAACTTGACATTGAATATCTCGCGACTACCAGAGCCACCCTCCTTCCAGACCGAAGCCTGCCAAGATTTCCCACAGCCAACTGATTTTGTCAAGACCGTGGGCTCATTTGAGATAAGCTTGTCGAAAGTAGGATTCCTCAGATGATGAGAGACATCTGTATTACTGTAACCTTCTTCGAATGCGTCTACCAGCACAAGAGCAACATAGCCATTTTTCCCTGTACATGAAACTTTGAGCATGGGCATTACCCCCCCCCCCCCCCCCCCCCCCCCCCCCCCCCCCCCCCCCCCCCCCCCCCAACCCTGGGCTCCTTGGAATGTGATAGATCCGGTGCTGTTTGAGAGCTTCAAATTTACACAACCGTCTGCGTCTGCCCCCCAGCGCCCAAGCTCAGGATTCAATAGAAACCGCTCTTTGACCTCCCACCCGAACGCATTTAGGTCCAGGGTTCTGATCCGGAAGTGGCAGTAGGAGTGGGTCCCGAAATATATTTGTGGTTGGTTGATCCAAACTTTTTCCAACCGATAGGGCGCCTGGTCTGGTTGCACGAGCTTCCCTACCCGCCACCACTCTCCGTCGTGAACGATAAGATCGCAGCGTGTCCGTTGAAAGTGACCTTTTGTGTTTGGCCCCTGGGAGATGATGACACCTAGAGGAACTAATTCTTTCCCTTCGTACGTACAGTTGAGAGGTGCAAGCCGCTGGTTTTCACCCGGAGAGTCGCGAAAGGTGTATTCTTCATTCAGACCTAGTTCTCGAAAATGGAGACAGATCTCAAGCCCTCTATTCGTCATCAAGTACGGCGGTCGTTCTATCAGCGACGGATTCGCAGATACGATGTTAGTTGCGTATCTGAACGACTTGAGAGAAGGAGCGAGCAGGCCACCCGATTCTATCGAGTGATCTTCCCAGGCGAAGAGAGACTCATCGCTTGAGATCCTCATAATCTCAAGCTGCAGTCTGAGAAAAGCACCAGGCCCTTCTCCGTATAGTGGCGGCATGTTGACGCCGAATATGCCCAAGAGGCAGTAAGCTTGATCCTCAAGCCTGGTAGTTACTCGATCCGCCGCCCAGCTCATCTTCTGAGCCACACTCGCATCCTCGAAATTGAACAGATATTTGATACCCGTCACTTGAGAAAGTGTTTCACCAAGGCTCTCTTTTGTTCCCATCTCCTCCCACTGAGTAACCCGAGTTAGCATAGCTTGATCAGGAAACTTTCAACTCCGAAGATATTCTCGAAGTGAGGTTTTCTTGAAACTTGAATCTCTTCCATTTCGGATGAGACTAAACTTGGAGACACAGGACCCGGGCAATACATACATCTTTATCGAAGAACTTGAGTTCGTCCGGGGCGAGCAATTCCTGCAACGTCCACCCCCTCGTGAACCACTTGCTAGAACGAAAGTCCTGCATCTTCATCCTAGGGTGCATATTCACCCCAAATGTCCACTCCAAAGGACCCGAAACATCAGAAAGGTACGCATAGCAAACTTCCGCATCGCGATACCAGCGAAACATGCTGTTGATGGCCTCTGAGAGTTCGGCGCTACTGGTTTTGTCGATACAGCAGGAGTCAACCCAAGCCCACTCTAGTTGATCGCGCGAAGCCATTTGACAGCAGCCTTCAATCTTCTTCCACCCAAGCATAGTCTTTCCTCGCCCACTCATCAAGTCCTGGAAGGTAACCTCTTCTTTCTCCCATCGGTGTGAGAGTATGGCATAGTGCGGAGTATCAGCGCCGAAGAACTCTTTCAGCTTGAAGGTGTTGACATTGATCAGACGCATTGGGAGCGGTGATACTGACTAGTTGCCTTAGGTGGATCTAAGTTCAGGGCCAGAGTTGTGTCTACTAAGGTAATTTCCGGTATTCTGGGAAGGATGGTGAGGTGCGCTATAGCCTGAGCGAGTCTTTTCAACACCTCATCATGCATGACCAAATAGCCAAGCGAGCCGCAGAGCCTCGCAGAGCTCGTATACGCGATCATGATCAACCTAGTCCGTCCAAACACACGTAAGGGCTGAGTAGCAAAAATTAGCAAGTCAAAGCGAATAGGGAATAGTTTGAGTGATAAGTCTGCTCGTCGTGCCACGTTCGTGGTACAGAATCGATGCAATCACCTTCTGGAACTTGCAGCTACTTGTTGTCAGATACTTCAAACAAGCACGATATGCAATAATAAAAGAATCTTATAAATACGCAAGTCTATTCTTCGATCAAAAACTCCGTAATAATACCCATATACCTCTCCTCCTCCTCCAAATGCGGACTATGCGTACTCCCATTCATCGTATCCCACTTAACCTTCTCAATCTCCCTCCAAAACGGTCGCACCCCCTCATCACTCGCAATCTCTCTATTCCCATTAATCAAGAGCGTTCTAACCTTAATCTTCTTCGCCTCGCCAATCGTGCTAAAGCCCGCCAACGTCCCCTCATTCTTGAAATGATCCCCACTGCCGCCAGCCATCACATCCGAAACCGTCTTATCCTTCGACCACTCAATCGCGGACTTTAACAATGGCTCGGGAACGAGATCGAGGCTGCAGATATGCCGTTTGGTGAACACTTTATACGCTTCCTCGTACTCCGGGTCATCGAACGTGCCGGCCGCTTCATGCTTATCGATCACCTTCTGCACCTCTTCCGGAAGCTCGCGTCGATATTCCGCCGCCGACTCGTACCGGATCTTCATACTTGCTGGCGCATTGGCTAATATTAATCTCCGTAGTCCAGTTGGGTTGCGCGCTGCGAATTTCGAAGCTAGCATCCCGCCCCATGAGGTGTCCAGGATATCATATTCTTGTAACTCGAGATGAGAGATCAGGTTCTCGAGCTCGGTGATGAACAGATCGACGGTCCAGAATAGAGTATCGCCAGCCAGTTCGGGGAGGTGCGTGGAGTTGCCGCAGCCCAGTTGGTCGTAAAGTATTATGGGGATGGAGTGGTGTTCAGTGAGGTATGTGTGCGGTGTTAGGTAGTGGCGCGTCATCCCGGGGCCGCCGTGGATGATGATGAGTGGTTTGATGGAAAGGTGAGATTTGGAGATTGAGAGGTCGCCGAAGGCTTTGTTCCATGTTTTGAGGGGTTTGGGGGCGGAGGGGTACGGGAAGGGGGCTTCGCCTTCGTGGGATGCGAGTGGGAACATTTTGTACTGTCTGGGTAAATGATCTGTATTGAATGAATGTGGAATATATTGATACTGTTAATACGATATTTGCACTTTGATATGGGGAAAAGAGTACTTGAGAAGGAAATGGTGAAGTAAATATGTATTTTCTGGCGTAAAGAGTGGGAGCCGAATCAACACCGAAAAGCTAGACAAAACTAGGAAAGTCATTTGATCTTGACCCACGGAGTGAATACAACATTGGGGTTGTGGGGCCAGCGAGGTCGGTAGGGTCCTCCTGGGTAGGGTATTGGCTCGGACGTTTCTTGATACACTTTGTTACAGAAGCTCTCCTGCCTAGACTGTAGTGAACATTGGTTCAATGGCTGAATTTTCAGCGTCACAAAGAGTCGGACTGACATGATATTGAATGGCTGTGGCCCGGGCGATTGTTTGCGGACATCGTTTAGTGGCGAGCTATTAGACACCACTCATGGGAGTGAAATATTCTGCAGAGAGTAGAAATCGTCTGTAACCGATATTTGAGAAGTAGGTGTGGAAATTTCTAGAATTGATCTTTTTTAGTGACCGTCACGACTATGAGACATTATCGTACATTGAATTGGCGGAGACAGCTCAGAAGATCTGCTGTGAGCTATCTCGAAATGTGATTGGTAGGTTTTTGTTGTCTCCAGTCTCGCTGTCGCGATCTAATTCTCTACAACTTTTGAGCGACACTGCTGTGCACTGCTTGCCATTGTAATAAATCTTCTTTTCCCCTTAATGACATTCTTTCTGAGATTCCACTCATGCAGTCCTTTGGTTAATTGTTTCTCCCTGGATAGTTTCAGCAATTCGTAGATCTATAGCTGTAACGCCTCGAGACCCATGCTGGAAAGAAGTCATCCTCTTACTATCCCCCCCCTTGAATACTTACAGCGGGTCCTTTAATAACGCCACCCTGAAACCTCGTTTATAACCCCCAACTAGGAAATATCAGGTGCTTTCCAGAATCGCTATTGGCCATACACCCTTGAGTTGGTCAGTGCAGGAGTGGTGTTATCCCAGGACCCACTGTAAGTATTCAAGGGGGGGGGGGGGATAGTAGCTGAGCGCTGTCGCCACTTGTTGTAAAGTCTTATTCTCGTCGGTATAAAAGCGTCGGATATGGAGTTTGAGTCTGTCCCAAAGGTCTTTAGAAGGTTGCCGCCGTCTTCGAACTGTACGAGATACTGGTCAGCAGAGCGGCCATCCTTGTAAGGTTTGTGGACCTTCTTAACGAGCCCCGCGGGTGCTGAAAAAGAGAGAGGCAAGGCTAATAGTCATTAACGAAATCTCCATAAAAGATGTCCATCGCAAGCAGTTCGAAGATGGAAGTGCTTGTGGTGGGTCCCAGGCTCTGAGCGGAGTTATCGAGGATTCGTGAAAGGGTGTTCGCGATCAAACATGGGGAAGAAAGTGTGTGCGTCATCACATAAAATTGTCTCTAAAGGCATATTCAATGCTTTCTGCGTATCTTTAGGGAGATTTTGGAAAGGGGGGATAGATTTACCTGACTCCCTACAAGGACTACCAGACAGGACACACCAGGAAAAGAGTTTAGCTTTACCCGGGTTCCAGGATTCCTGCTGATACTAGAGCTCTGCTTTTTCAAGGTAAAACATTTTATGCTCTTTCAATATCCGTCGCCCTCTGATTACTCCTCATTTCCATATGAGCGTTCAAAACGAAACACTCTCCTCTCAACAGGGTAAATAAAGAGTGCGGATCAGTAAATCAAGTTTCTGGCCACTTCTTCCAGAGGCCACCTCTCCCATCAAGCAATCTCTTATACGCAGCTACCTGTCCCTCTAATACTAAACTTTCTTCCTTGAGCTCCTGTTCTTCAGCCTCCAGATTTCGGATGTGGAGCATTGCGTGATCGAGGGTATTCGCCTTAGTCGCTGGTTTCTCGGCCGTCAATCTACCTTTAAACGGTCCAGTCTGTTCTACCATCGGGTCCGGAAGAGCCTGAAGCAGACTTGAAAACCGGCCGTTTAATGTCGTCCTATACCTCTTCTCGCTCTGTGCGTGACTGCTCTGCCGACTCTCATCACCGGACTCTGCTGATTGAAGTCTCGACTCTCTATTCTTGAGGGTTTTAGAGAACGGTTTAGGTGATGCTATTGATGTGGCTGGGGAGGATATAGGCTCTGTGTGCGCGGGAGAACTGAAAACGTGGTTCACCAACTCCTGTATCGTGCTTAGTTTTTGACCCCTCGGGAAACTATCCCCCTCTGGTATTCCTACTACGCCTTGCATATCCGAGGATTCAAGGTAACTCGAGGGCACCGACGGCCATGCTTCTGCCATTCCACTGCCCCCATTACCTGTTTCTGCGCTTCGCACGGAAAGGAATTTGGCCGTGGTGTGAGGCGAGTAGGCGTGCCCATTGCTGGCAGAATCTCTTTCACTCGAGTCTATTCTTGGAGCGTAGGATACTGGACTCGAGATATCGGAATTATGTGGGGATATGCCTGTCGTGAAGCCAGGCCAAATTTGCTGGGCTTCCAACCCACCACCCAACCCCCCATCTCCCTTATTTCCATTTTCTCCCAAGCCATCCCAGTCTCCCCACGCGGTCCATGCCGCAGCGTCTCCAAAGGTTCCATCAAAAGGGTTAATGGATTGACCAGTTGTAGGTGGAGGGCTGCGAGAAAGCCCCGAAGTGGTCGCGAATGGTACCTTGTAGATTTGTGGCCATATAGGCGGGGTAGCATTCGGTGACAGTAGCCATTGGGTGGAAAAATTTGAGGGTTGAGGAGCTGTGTCCAAGTATCGCCAGACCGCCTCGCCTTCTACTGCTTCATTATCGTTCTGCTCCCAGTTCCGCGATGCCATTTTGGAACGACCCCTGCCTCCAAAATCAATCCCGGATGTTGCTCCGCCTCGAGAGAGGTTGAATAAGTCCACGCCAAAAGGTTCCTCGCGCGTAGTCGAATTGGTAATACCAGGGTGGACAGATGTAGCAGTGCAGCATTGAACCTGGTTATGTAGAGATCTTCTGAACCAGAAAGATGACACTCTGAAGAGGAAGGCGTTCCTTGTGAATCGGGTTCCACAAGCGGGGCCTGATCGAGAATACGGTTGACGACAAACCGCAATTCCCATTGTTTGGTGTGCCCGAAAGTCGCCACAAAAGCTTGGGTACCGGACTAAGGGCGTATCAGGCAGCACTCCGCAGCATAAGGAATATGTTTAATCCGAATACTGCAATTGGGGGTTGCGGTGACCACTTCCGTGAGGTGTGATGGATCTCATGTTGGCCGACATTTGCATCAAAGTGGAGGTACTATACCTCCTATCGAATCGAGATTTCGAAAGCTCGATCCGTCACCAAGAATTCGATGGCCGTGTCGTTGCAGCCCTTGACAGGGAAGACGCTGGGTGCTTCAAATCCAATCAAATGCAGACTCTCCGAGAAGATAAAGGAGAAAAGCAAGTTTTGATGAAGGCGGGCCGGAGGCAGACCTCCGTCGAGGCGCTCGCAGATCCAGGCCGAATTGTGTACTCGACATTGTAGGTTACTGGGTCATTCTGACTCGAGGGCCAGACGTTTGCTTTGAACACTCAAGAAATGGAGGAATAACTCAATGGTTGACTTTGAGCGACGATCACAGGCTCCGCAGCACCGATCTTGTTGTGGTGCGAATGCGATGTCGCTTCATAATAGCCATTGTGCATTAGGAAATGCTGTCGACAATTTGGGACCGATATTTGAACTAAGGCGGAAGGTCGAGAATTTTTTTTAAAAAAAAATGACAGAGAGGGAAGGCGGGCGGGGGTGGAAGATAATTTATATGTGTTGGAAAAGGGAAGGGGAGCAGATTTTGGGCCTGGGACTTAAAACAGACCGCTTGTCTATGTAATCGAATGTTTGATACATCACAAAGCATTCGGAGTCGTCGTGGTCCGTGATGGGGATGAAATGAGAGAAGAGTCGCTTGGCTTACCGTATTTGTATGCAGGCGTGCATATGCTAGTACCACGCTGAGTGCGTTCTGAGTGGCCAGTAGTCAAAAACACGGCATGTCTCGCATCCATCCGCTCGAGTCAAAGCACCTGCCAAGCTTGTTAGCTAATTTTCAGTCCTCCAGCCAAGTCTGAATCTTTGTACTGTACAGTACAACAACGAAGACGATCATGGTCTCGCATTGAACTGCAAATGTCGTACAGTTACATCAGTTCTTGTCCGGGGCCCTCGAAATCTCCCGGTTTCAGGAGTCAGATATTGGCAATAGTTCCGACCTTCCGTAGACGTTGGTTTGTTGATGGAGGCCTGGGCCGACCCGTGATGTGGACTTCTTGCCTGCTTGACCCTTGACCTTATGGAGTATGAGAGCCCACTCATCTCCACTTTCTATTAGGGATCTACCGGAGTCTGCCAATAGCGCGGTATCACAGAGGTCAAAATCGCGGGGCAAGATGTGACATTGGACGAGAAAATCCCACACTCGAATTATCGGTCGACTGCATCTGCAGACAACACCGGATCAAGTCAAGATGCTGAGACAGTTGCGCCACATAACACCCAGGAATCGATGAAGACTGACGAGCGAACAGCATTTACAAGCTTTCTTTACCCAGAGTCTCCTTCCTAGCTCGTGCATCATTTGGTCATAGCCAACAAGCTGCCATCATCTCACAAAATCAAGTTGAGATCAAGGAAAGTCGCGGTTCTTCGGCATTGTGGCGAGGCGAAGAGAACAGGAAAAGGAAAGCCCTCCAAATTGTTACTATTTCCTACTCGGTCCTACTCGGCACCTCCAAATTTTTGAAACTTGGCTAACAATTACCTAGAGTGGATACATAAATCCGGCTTCTGGATACAACTCCCCCTTATCCAACGTATTTGGGACGGCAACCAAATGGCAGCCCAATTTCAAAGAGATTGGCAGCCATCCGAGCCATCTCGGGATCTCGGCCTTCCAGGATGGCTGACAGATGACCGAAATACCGATGCGTTATATCCTCCGTTGCCCGTTTTCTCGCGCGGAATCTTTGCTCCAGAAAGTGGTGGTTCTTGGCATTACTTCGACTCGCACTTCGGACCAGAATCTCAGCAGAACCCCCAATACAACCGTAACCGATGACAGGCAAGGAGATTCCCACGCTGTAAATGTTTCCGACATTCCTCAGTCTCTCATTACCGCGCAGCAGCCTTCGGTGGCTCGGGACGAGGATTGCGACAGTGATATGGCCAAGATCTCATCCCCCTCAAACGAACCCACATCATCTCCGAAGATGAGTGAGAGTTCTCATCGAAGTGCCCTGAAAGCAGCATGGGTAGGCTCGAGAATCCCTCGGCAGTCTCACAACCCAGGTCGCCATGCTTCACGCTCCAAACAAAAGCAGCTCCCAAGTCCCCGTAGCCAAAACTTGCCCTCGAGCACATCAAAATCAATCAGCCATCAGCTTCGTGGCATCAAGGAAAGCCCCAAGATGGATGTCACCAACGACGCAGAAGCAGATGTCCTCCCTAAATTTCGCACAGCTCATAACATGGTTGAGAAACAGTACCGGACAGGGTTGAACACGCATTTTACGCACCTTCTGGAGGCAATTCCACCGGGAGTCGCAGCGATGCAGTTTGATGGGCATGTGAATAACGGTGGGCGCAGAGGCAGGGCAAGTAAAGGAGATCTGCTTGCTCTTGCGAAGAGGTATATTCAGACGCTGGAACAGGATAAAAGGCGTCTTGAAGGAGAGGGCATAGAAAATAAGACGACTATCGGTCGTCTAAGGGCTGCGTTGGTGAAGAGTGGGGGCGGGGACTTTGTTTGATATGAGCAGGAGAGCATGAAATTTGGACGAAGGAATGTTAATGCAATTTATGGACTCAGAATTCTGAGAAATGAATTTCTTTAGGACTAATTTCTTCGGGGATATCAGAATACCCCATTTGTTTGCAGTATTGAATCAGGGGTCCTGTACTGTTGCTGCCGGGAAAGCCAGTGTTCGGAAGGGCATTTTCAGCCGCTTCAGCTGCTGCGAAATCCAAGTCAGCCACATTACTTCACGAGTATAGCAAAACAATAAACCATAAAGTGGAACAATTCACAGGCAGGTGATATTACGAGAAGCTAAGCTTAGTTCTGAAGCTCTTTTTAGGTAATTTGAATTATAAAAAATCTTAAAATAAGTTAAATATTTCTTTGGGCTTAAATTACTAAAATTAATGAAAATATTTTATTTTATTTTATATTAAGGAACTATAAAATAACCCCGGTAAATTTTTAAGGTAAGTAAATTTTATTTATTTATTATTAGAACTTTAAAATAATAAAATAAAATTCAAAGCCTAAGAAATTTTAATTTGCTAAGGTACCGCCCACCCCACCTAATAAGCCTTCAGCGTACTATGTTGCGATAACATTCAAAAGTAGATTTTGGGTATCAGGATCAACAAGGGGCGGCAATTTTTGGCCCCAAAAACCTCCCGTGTAAAAGCAGGCTGTGTTCTAATCCCGCATAACTACAGGGGTCGTCAGTGGCCATGAGCAGCTCCAGCCAGTAGCTTGAGGCTCCGCCACAGGGCTCCGCCACGGGCTGTCAGCTACAGCTTCAAGATAATTATAAACAACCCCAACCACCTTACTAGCGACATATCGGGTTCATTCCCTCTTCTCAAATCAGACACTCAGTTATGCCTGACCCTCTGAGCATTGCTGCCGCCGTGACCGGGATCGCAGCGACAGGCTTCGCCGTCGCCAATGGGCTTTACACAATTGCAGATGGAATAGGCTCCGCAGGACAAGAAGTCCGAATCTACGGCGACGAGGTCGGTGCATTCTCCAAGCTTCTAATCAGAGTCCGAAGTGAGCTGCTTCAACCAGCCCATACATCTTCCGAAGATACAAGCCTAATTAAAGACGTCTTGGACATATGCGACAGGATCCTTGCCCCTCTGGAGCGGTTGCAGACGACACTCAGTCCACTTCTGGTCCGTTTTCGCGAGAGTCCGGGGAAGTTGAGGCAGGTTGGAATCCGGATCCATTGGATTTTTAGCAGGAAGGCGAAATTGCTTTTTTATCGAGAGGTGTTGAGAGGGCAGCACAGAGTACTGGATACCACTCTTGAGTTGATGATATTGAAGGTCAATAGGGATAAATCTCCCCAGAATGTTTAGTAAGTAGTTTTGGACTTACTCGTTAGGTGTTCTTCGCTTATACAATGTAGTATTTTGCAGATGTCCTTGGAGCACTCTATGACCGCCGTGCATCACTCACTCAAGAGTACCAATGTGTACCAACTAGGGTACAATCAGCCGACAGAGTCGAAACAAATGTTGTTGATTGAAGAGAGAGAAGACCTGCCTGAAGTGCCCGAGGCTGGGTCTCCTGATGATCGGCAGATTCTCGAAGGCACGGAGGAACGGTCTTTGGCTGACAGCATCGTGCAAGGACAAGGAGAAAGTGATCAGATGACTCTTGTTCTATCAACTTCGGCGTCAGAGCAGGCCGCTGAACGGCTCGACGAGGAGGAAATACAGCAGTTGGACGAAAAAGTTGATCAAGATCTCAGTTCTCCATCATACGAGTCCCACCAAGAGCTCTTGGAAGACATGCGTTCGGTATCGCGCAAAGTATTGAGACGCGCAACAAGAGTATTGCAAACAAGCCAGAGAGAACTTGAATTGGAGAATGAGAGGTTAGCGGGTTCGATGCCAGATGAGCCGATTCATGCGCTTCCAACTGAAACACCAGCGAGCATGCCGGCTGTGACAGGAGTTCCAACCAGGGAGGAAGAGGCAAAGCCTCATAAAAGAGATCTATCTCCCGAAGGCGCTGATGTTCCAGATAACATCATCACCTTGGAAAATGCAGACGGCGAGTCATATGACTTGCCTTATCTTGAAGTCCGTACCTGGGAGGTGAGCGAATTGAAGCCCCATACACTTTTTAAGGGATGAGTAATTAATATTCCAAGAACATGTGCAACGTGATAAACGAGATCTTTAAAGGGAAATGGCCAATTGAACCGGATCAATTTGATTCTGACCGAGAGAATTTCGTGGCTATCAAGAATGGCGATTTTTTGCTTTACGGTCCATCTCGCCAGATTATTCTTCCCAGAATGTGGAGCCGCCTTGTGAGGCCGGGGTGGGTGGTGAAGCTCCGATACAAGCAACCCAGTTTGAACCCTCAGTGGCTGCTTGAGATGGACGACCGCAAGCGAAAGGAAGAGTATCTTGCAATGAAAATGAGAGATATGGAGCAGGAGGCTGAACAAGAGAAGTTCCATAAGAACCTAGATGAGAGGAGACGGAAAGATGCAGATGATGAACAGGAAAAGAGACTGGCGAAGAAAAATGCAGATGGACCAAATACCCGAGATACGTGGGGAGAAGCCGGGAGATGGAGGCTATTCAAGAAGTTCATCAAAGGAGATTGAGCTATGACGAAAAGAGACGGGGTGTAAGCTCTTTTGTAAATGCCGGTGCTGTCTGGATTCTTCTAAGTCGTGTCTTCGGGATTAAGAGATCAGAATTTGTGGTCTCCACTATTGCAAGGATTTAATATTCATCCAGAGTGCGCATTCAGTTTTCCGCGATATCAAGAAAGTCTTCACTAAACTCAAGCGCCCACTTTCAACCACAATTTCAATAATGAATCACTGGTTCAACCCTTGGGGGGAGGGGGCTATCGGGATCGAGGCGCGGGTAGTCCATATTTGAAGTCACGTGCCACTGCCGTTGCTCCAGGGGCGATGACGGTGTCGTTAATCTTGATATGGTTCCGCCGATAATGCTACGAGCTGCTGGCAGTTCAAACCAAAACAGTAGTGATAGAAAGGGCGCCCCCACTCTTTCTTTCAAAGAGTCATACTAAATACAAAAGTCAGGAAAGTACCAGTTTATCAAGAACATTATACTCAAATTACCTTAGCTGCACGCGCACCATGTCTATTGTTACTCTCAATATCCACTATTCCAACCGAAGACTCCATGGGCGGTGGCGTAATTGAGGATAACTCGTCAATAGACAGCTCACAGGCTTCAAACACCTCTCTGCGGGCACACCAATCCCAGACAATGAAGAACTTAGGCATACAAATTCGCTATTGAAATTTGAAGTTTGAAAGATAGGAGTGTTTTCTTCCTTCAAACGTGGAAAGATGCAAAGGCGAGCTCTCTTACTACATACATATCCCTTGTGAAAACAGACTTGAACTTTTAAGATGCCGATGTCATGACTCAGAGAAACGTGCGGAAAGCGTCATGATTAGACTACTCTGAGGGTCAACAATATAGTTGGCATCTAGATAGAAATCTGTAACTAGTTCAAATTTAACTTAATATTGGATCCAGTGTTCTGAAGGTCTTACTGATTGTAAGCCAAAGACAAGACTCCAATTAAGAGGCATTCAAGAGACATGGCTCAGTTCCAGAGAGAAATTGTCTCGATCTAATAGTTTTTTATTTGAACTAGTACACACTGCTCTCAACCCTTCCATCTCGGGGAACATTGTTGAACCTGGTTACTTCCTGGCAAGCTCACTGAAGCACTGCACTTTGAACCACATTCGATTCTCTTCTCGATTGTGTACCTTGTAGCACACCGGTCCGTGTGTAAGAAGTAGTCATCAATATCTAATTCTTCATTGCCAACTATGCCATATAATGACACCAAGGGCATTGTGTGATTGGTCTAAAGTCCGAAGTCAACTCCCACGATCAAATTGTATGTAATTCCGTTCCCTTCACGGTCCCGTTTACAGCTACTGTCCAACTTTGCATATTCTTGTTTGGCGCAGATCGAGACCTTGATTCCGATTCCGTCTCATGTGTATAATCAGCAAGCATGGTGTGCTCTTGGTTAAGCCGTTGGTGTTGGAATTCGATGAGAAGGCAGGCCAGGCGCAGTCGACACTCGATATTATACAGTATCCGTGAACCTTCATGTGCGCAAGTCGTACTTCTCGTAAACAAGCCTCCTACAACATGGAACTGTGTCCTTATTTATAGTATGCCGATTCAAGTGGTCAACCGTAATGAAGGTGGCATCGAGGAGAGATTGTGAGCCGTTGGTCCTGTAGCAGCCCAATTCTGGTTAATCTCAAACCTTGCAAACAGAGCATAGAAAGAGATACCGCGAAACCTTTGGGGGAAAATTAAAAAATGGGGGGCGATGCCGCTTGTCGTCTTTGCAGGAGAGGCGCTTCGAGCATGATGCACAGTGTGCAACGACTGTCCCCAACATAATATTCCTTATATATATATATATATACATGGCAGACACACAAATATACGCCAATATCTTCTTCCATGGCATGTATCAACTGTTTCGTGTGTGCCGCACAGAGATGAGGACTTTCGAGAGAGTCAGATGGATTTGCGGATCGAGAAGCCGGCCCAATCTCGTCGAGAAGGAGAGAGGTAGACGATGGACATGTCGTCTCCGGGCCATACTGGTCGCTGAAGATTCTGCGACATGAGAAACCCCTATTATTACTAACTTGGTGACGGTAGAAAAGTGTGGACTAGTGCAATTCCTAAAATGGATGGCTTTTGGTGAATGTGTTGGAAGTGAATTGGTCTTTCCTGGCAGGAAGTTGTCCAAAAGCCATCAAGGACCTCGTAGAGAAGTAATCGAAAGAACCATCCATGCGCTTATGAACCAGTTCTCAATTCTTTCAACGATTGTGTGATAGTGACGTTGTTTGGGTCTGAGTTGATGGTTGACGTGCACTGAAGCTTCAGGCCTCCGGGGGTTGCTCTGCCAAACGGAGTGTTTTCAAGGGCCTCGCAGAATCTGGGAAGACCTTAGGTTGCTTTCGTCCCGAAACCCCCTCAACTACTCTCATGTTTGTATTGCGTTATATTTTGAACTGGTTGATAATGGAGGTCGAAGGAAGTCTTCCAGAAGCATACATGGTCGTGAAGTGCGGCGAGTTCACCCTGCTGTTGCTTGAGATTTTTGTACAGTAACCTATCTGCTGGCCTGCAAGCTATCTCTATAGGCTGCCAAAACCTTTCCTCAACGAATGAACGTTCATTTTACCCTGTGCCTCGGTACTTTTAAGGCGCTTCAAGCAAAGGCCACATCAGAAGACCAAATTTGTTTTCTTTATGGAGGCAAAAATCGTACGGTTGCGAGAGAGAACATTTACCCGGGTATGACTCTAGAGATCTCAGACACATTCCCTCCGGCGACACCATGTATAGATGATGATTAATGATTCGAGGAATTAAATTCCGAATCTCCTGACCCGAGTCAACAACGCCGGAAGTGGCAATCCTATTCCTTACAAACGCCCCCAATCCAGGCCGCCAGATCCACGGTTACTCCGCATCATGCTTGAATCGATTACGATATTATTGTGTGATTTGTGACTTTTGGCTGGAGTTTCCCTTTTCTTTGAGGGGATTTTGTGGCCGGAATAAATTACCGTTGAAAGTCGTACGGTTTATCACGGGATTGGGATCATGCCATATTTTCGAATCAACAAATGACAAGATCAACGTGGAATGCTTCGAATGGCATCTGAAGTCAGCTGGCGGACATTTGTAACACCGTTTCCTGCCTTGGAAGAGTGTGTTATGGAGTACGCAAGTTACGAATCACGTTTTCTCGTCTGTGGGCTTGGCGTGTCCCTTATTCATAGGTGGACGGTAGGCCAGAACTAGATGTATAGTTGGTGAAATTTGAAAATGCCAATAGTAATCAGACGAGCCGTTCACTCTTCTATTTCTCTATGCACTGTCAATGAACATTGAAGAAAGCAGATGCACGTGTCGAAAAATGTACAAGCTTTGCTACCATTAACCTCAAAAACAAGGTAAGTAAACATTTAGACGTTACTATATTACGGTACCATCAAGCAAGCATATTGTCAAGCTCTTCGGCAGGTGGTTCAGCCTTGAAAGGTCACGCCGACCTTTCTAAAGGATCAAAATTTCCTCCTCGTCCCTCTATTCCTTCTGATTGTTTCCCACCCAGATCTACCGCTCAAGCCTTTGAGATCTATTGGCCTATAGGCAACTCTCTGGGCTTTGAATATGTGTTATAGAGGTCGTCGTCATCTACGGCATCCTTTCCACCTTGATGGCTGGTACGAAAAAGTACTTAGAATCCGTGCCCACATCCGTCAAATCAGAGCTCCATTAGTGTACTTCTTGGTATGTGCAAGTTGGGTATTGGCCAGGAGTCCATGATGCGGCATGCGCGATACTGGTTCGTGCGAAATAAGGCTGACTCGAGAGTCAAGACCGAGACAGTCGATGAGAGGAGGATATAGGTTCCGCAGAAAAATGAAGACTTGAGCGTATGATATGGCGGTAGCTAAGCTTGATGCAAGAGGTTGGAATTGAAGGTTGTGACGTGCATACAGCAAGGAAAAAGGTGATGGTCGGTTGTAGGAGAAACGTGTGAAGTCACCACGTACGGAATGGCCTAAAATTCGCTGGCCAACATTAGTGAAATGCAGATCGAGTAGAGTAAGGATTTATACGTGGTTGATTGAAATCACAGAGAGACTGTAAACCGTTGTTAAGGGACGGGGAAACCGAGAGCCCCGTAATGTGTTGATATTACTGAGGTGTTCCATTTGATGCATTCGAGCGAAGTCCAACCGATGAACTGGTGACGATGGCATCCGCTGGAACAGACCACCAGAGCCAAGATGATTGCCCACTCTCTGGTAGCGGAAACAGGTTTCTGCAGTGCCGCTGAGTGAGCGAAGAATTGTCTGCAATGGTTCCTTCGAAGTGTGTGCACCGATGTTCGTTCTAGAGCTGGTGGTCCTCGGGAGCGCTCATGCAGCTGTGGGAGGCAAAAGCTGTGCGTGTTGAACTTGATGCGACCCAGTGGTCACAGTTGAGGAGTTCTGCTTTTGAGTTGTGTCTTGAGAGCAACTGGAAAAGAAATACCGTCAAGAGCCCAGACCGCTTCGGGCAACTTTCTGGCGGAGCCAAAGCGAATAGTACCGCCTCCACCACCGTTTTACCAGGCAGCCCGTTTCCTAACAGAATATTAGAAACTTTGAAAGCTTAGAGGGCCGTCGAGCCAAGACCTCGCCGCTTCTGCTCGACACAACCTTGCCTGCCAGCAACTTGCTCATCTGCGAGTTGGCCGGATGTGTTCCAACCGCCCGCATAAATTTCATAGCCGATATTGCATGGGCCAGTGCAGATCAAGCAATCAATACGGGGTGTTCTCCATCCACATGGAGTTTAAGTGCAATGATTGGACAGTTTAAACTCTTTTCGTCTGACGCAGTTGACAACATGCTCTGCTTTCCCTCGGCAACGCCTCCATGTATTGCTATCGACCACAGAGTTATAGAGGCAGATAAGAGTAAAATGTGGCAGATGACCTTACATATGTATGTGCGTGCAGGGAAGCGGTGCCCGAGTACTGCGGGAGACGACAGCTGGCAACGAACCACCCACCTTTCCAGGACGATGGCGGAATCTAGAAGCGTCCAAGCAGCGTGGGAGTGGCGATGAGCTTTGGAAGGGGAAATAGATGCAGATCAGATGAGCTGAGCATAAATCCCTACTCTTATTCGAGCAAGTCTGGTTCGAGAGAGGCGGGAAAGCCTCACTTTATGCACCGATAGTCGCCGAGGTGAGACCCCGGGAAAACCACGGAAGAGCAGAAGGAAAGGTGCCCCATGCATATACCATGCATAAGTATCTCCCATTACCAAATGCAGAAGAGTACATTGGATAGCCCAGTGGATAAGGGTTGTTTCTGGTAGGTTCTCAGGCTTTCAGTGTCCAATAATGGGGTGATAACCAAATCTCGTGTCTCTCATGAGATTCTCCTCGGCATGGCAAAGGACTTCAGCCACAACCGTAAGATTTGAGCTTTGAACGGGTTTGCCACTTCAAACTTGAGGCAGTCCACTTGGTTTTCCAAAGTTTAGAGGCATGTCAAAAGAGTGTGGTACTGACGACCGGTAGTCACGTGACAATATACCCCTATCCACATGTGGGGTGAGTTGATAAGATTAATATTCCTTTTCATAGGTGAGAGAGTGATCATACAATTGAGGTGCTAGTTGATAGAACAGTAGAGTATCTAAGGGCGAGTTACCTTCAAAGCGGTGTCGAACAAACGTTCGAATAATGATAAGAAACTCTCTGAAAGACCAGATTTCGGCCGCTATTACGGCCCCAACCCAGTGATGAAAACAAAACACGAGACGCTCCTGATATGAGAAGTTCGAAATATAAGCTATCTGACGTCCGAGAGGGAGATGCCAATAGGCATGGGCATCAACTTACTCCCAGCCTTCCTCTGCAAAGTCTCTTGAACAGCTCCTGCTGCCCGCGAAGCACCAAACTTTCCTCCTCCAGTTCTGTTTGAGTTTGCTCTAATGAGGCAATATATGACTTCGCAAGAGCCAAAATCTCAACCTTGGTAAGAGCTTTTTCTGCATGACTTCTTCCTGAGTGACCACTCGCTGACTCCACAATATCATCTGGAAGAGCTTGAAGAAGAGCGGAAAACCTTTCTTTTAGACGCAGACGATACTGACGTTCTGTGTCTTTATGGTATCGCCTGTCTTTGGGTTGTGGCGGTGGTGGAGTTTCTTCTTCTGACTGTTGCGAGACATCCCAAGAGGTTGATTCTAAGTGATCAGGAGTTCTCGGAGATGTTTTAATCTGTGAGACTGCTGTTGACTCTGACTTGCGGTGGTTTGTTGTCTTGTTATCTTGACATTGTTGCGTGCGGCCCAAAGAGATAGTCCCCAGTGTGGTATTCGCCATTTGGCCAGACCTTCGCAGCAACAAACCAAAACGTCGGCCGGGTGGTCTCCCACTGCTCTGGGACGGCTCGTAGGCTCGCTGCTTTCCAGCAAAAATGTTGGGTGCGTTGAGATTAACATCGAGTTTCTCAGATGACTCAGTTGTAGCAGTGACATAGTCCTCGCAACCCCAATTATTCGCGGGCTGGGGTTGGAGGAGATGGTTTGGTAAAACGGAGTTATCTCCAGGCGAGACAGAGGCTGGAAAATCGGAATCTGGTGCTGTGGTGGCGGCAAATTCAAGGTCCCAGTCTTCCCACACACCCGCGTTCCAAAGGGCATCATTTGAGAAATCCCAAGTACTGCCCCCCGTGAAGCCGCTATCAGAAATACTGGCTCCGAATGAATTCGATGTGAAGTCGGTGGACCTTTGTGGCCATTTGGGCATCGAAGGCCCTGCCGAAAATTGCCACCCCACGGGGAGTGCCTCAGCATATGCTTGAACCGTATTTCGATTGACACCAGAGCATGCCTTCTCGGGCGGCTCATCCAGCGTAGGAAGCCGTGCGTCCATTACTTTTAATCCTAAGAAATGTCTCTAAACTCGGAGTGAGGCTAGAGATTTCGTTTGAACTTTGCCAAAAACCAAGCGAGGAGGGTTCGATGCCTAAAGTTGTAGGTGTAAGGGAGGGCGACCGCGAAGGACCTCCATGCTAGAGAATTGCCGCAGGGTCAATCCCGATCCTGAGAGATCGTCGGCAGGGCCACCCCACCCTTACTTCAATCACAAATGCAACAGGCCCAGTAGCAGAGCTTCTCCCACGAGGTGTGGCAAATTGAAGGCGAAACAGAAATTTGAGTGTGTTTGGTCTGAGGTTACACTTTTCCCACAGTGCGCATGCCCACTGTACACCCGCTCCAAGTACAAAAGTAACCAGTCCCGGTGATGCTCATTTCGAAGCATCAGCGATGCGATTGACATCAGGCATAAATAACATACCCTTGACTGTGGTGGAGAGTCCATTTCCCAAAATGCAAACCACGACCTGGTTTTGCGCAGTCGAGACCGCCTGGACTTCCAGGAATCGCGATTAAAAATTCGGAACCGGGTCCGATCCCCTGCTTCCTGCTTGCATGTGAGGCCCACCACTTGTTGTTTGCGAAGCTGAGTTGGAAAATGCACGTTTGATATTGGGAAGAGCAAACTGTGAAAGATGTCCAAGATGGTTTGGGGCCAAAATGAATGCAGTAAATGAAATTCTCTGGAATCTTTTGTGGGCCTTGATGTCTCAAGACTCGCCTTAAAATAGCCTAATTTCAAAGAATGTACCAGACGTTTCTTTGATCAAGGTCTGAATAGCTTCTCTGAAAGTCTACTTAGATTTCATGTACTTTTGCCGTGGAATTTTTGGGGGTGTAGAAAAAAGTAAATTAGAAGAGAGGCGAACAGAGGGAAGGTCAGCAAGATACAGAGACTGTCATGGTGACACCAGAGCTAGGTGACTGGGAGACTGTGACGTCACTTACTCTCGGCAGTTTTCTTGTTTTGACGTTCAACATTCTACTTCCCATCACTTGCAATAATAAAAAGAATATATAAGCTTCTGAGGACCATCCGACAGCTCTCAAAGTTGAAGCTCACAATTCGCAGTCCAAATTTGAACATAGGTTCGTGGGCTAGCCTGGAGTGCGAAAGTTCATTGACAGGACACAGCGTACGTGCTTCACCAATCACAAGTTTATCGGTCAATAGAAATTGCTTCAAATAACTTTTAACTTGGCTAGATGATAATCGATGGCATGCGCTTTCAATCGGTTTCGACCTCGTCGTTTGGCAGGCGTTCTCCCAAGAGAGTTTGGAGAGGAGAATAAACGGTAGCATTTCAACTGCCCCTCACTGAATCGAAGAAAAATTGGCACAGCGTGGCTAATCTCACACAATGTTTGTAATGGTATGCTTGAAGGATAGTTTCCATCCAAGGGAGCCCTCGACCAATATTAAGTATGTAGAACCGAGAACTCCACTGATGCAAGCTCATAGAACTACCCCACAAGGCGTACAATAAATAAGAACCCCGACCGTAGGACGGGTGTCCTGTTGCAGAAAGCAGTCTCTTATTAGTTCTTGATCAAGGCATCAGAACACCTCCTGAACTTATCCAAGCCTTCCTCAACCTGTCGTAGTCCTCCTCCAACCTCTTGTTCTTCTTTACCAGCTCCATTCCCTCCTCTTGCAATATCCCAATGTATCTCTCTGCCAATGCCAGTGTTTCGGCTTTGCTGGCATTCTTTCCTCCCGTCTCAAGACCTGATGCTGCTGCCAACTCAAGTGGTATTTTCGCCAGCAGGCTGACGAAATGGGAGTTGAGCCGGCTGCGATATTGCTTTTCTACCATATTGTGTGCCCTCTTCAAATTTGCTTTCGGATGGAAGATGTTAGGAGAGGTCGGTGGCGACCGCGAACTTTGGGCAGTGCGTAGCTTCGGCGAAGTGTGTCTTCGTTCTGAGCTCGAGGGCAGTGGGATGTTTGGTTCGCGAGTGCGTGTGGACGTTCGCGTCCTTGCAGTATCCAAGACTTGACTCTGCCCTCTTGCGCCATTGGTATTGTTTGCAATGGGAAGTTGTGTCTGCGGTAGTGTGCTGAAGTTCTCGAATGGTGGAATGGGTGTACTGGCCGAACTGGACTCTCTTCCCGAGTTCCACGTCAACTCTTCCTCCATTGTGGTACTAGAGAAGGTAGTGGCAAAGTTCCTGCTCTCCGCGGTCCACGCATAGCTGGGCAGAAACTGGGGTCTATCTTGGAGTAATCTGAGTTGTTCTCCATTAAAATGGTTACTTGCCGGATGCGACTCCTCTGGTGAGACAGAGAAGCTCTGGTCGAACAGATTCGAGTCGCTGCCTGGCGTATAAAGGCTAAAGGATGAGGTAGAGATTTGTGGCGTGTCAACAGGAGGGTTTATGGATTCTCCTCGCAATGGCATTCTTTTGTTGAATAATTGTGGCTCTTGTGAGGCGAAAGACACTTCTTCTACAGCTTGAGAGTCCGTGTAGCCCAAGCGAAACGAGCGACTACGGCCACCCTGCAAAAGGTTATTAGCCGCACTCCTAGCGATGCGCGATTATTTTCAGACTTAACTTGGGCAACATATGGCTTCCAATTTCGTCCATTATCTTTAGTTCATCCCGTTATGTTCATTGAAGAAGCATTTCTTGACAGGAGGTAGATGGCTGCGCTCACAGTTGAAGGCTTTGCCTGAGCGCTTAAACCTATCCGGAGGGGAGGCCGCTCATTTCGGGACAGCAGCAGACAAAGGAGGGTAGAGTCTTGTCTCGGCGTTCTTCTGTGTGAAGGGTCCTGGGTCTATCCCGCCATCAGCGTCTATTTCATTATATCTCCCAAGACGGGTGTTTGTGTTGGCCGAACATTCGAGCGAGAAGCAAGCAGCGATCATTCGTCACATCTTGACATAAACATCTGCATCTGAAGAGACCGATTAGATTTTGAGGAGCTGAATTGGCTGAAAAGAACTCACATCCACCCCGATGCAGCTTCACGGGCTCCAGTTCCTCAGACATCCGATTCATCCAGTGGCACAGGGTAGGGCTGGGAGCCACTACCAGTTTGGCTCGCTTGGCTTTGTGGCTCCCGCCCGGTACCCAATCCCCTGAGATTCCTGGCGATATTCGGGCTTAGATAAGAGGACCCCTCAGCATGAGCCATAACTATTGGATCTGGGTTCTGGAAGTGCTTCGATCTCCAGGCGCCCAAATAATCGAAGACGTGATGCCTCAGGAATTCTCGATCCACGGGTAAGAACTCGATGGGCACACCGCATTGCACAAGCCATCCATTTATACTTTGGAATATCTGTTGACGTACCTCATTAGATCAAGATGTGCCAATCCTTCTACCTCCAGGTATTCGAAGCGTTGAGATTATTACTTTGCTGTATAAGTAGGGACATGTCCTCGACACGAGGGATGCCTACCGCAATACTGGCCGTTGATGCCCGTTGGCAGCTGATTCAGCCTTTCAGAAAACCTGGTGTGGTACAAGGCTTTTTCGGAGTTGATCTGAAGTTGAGTGCCGACCCTGCTGGCATGCTGACTACCAAGAGCGCTCAGCCTTCTTGGAGCCGCCCTTACTAATGGACATATTCCCATTGGTGGGGCCTCTTGCCCGATATCTCTTTGATGGGACCCTTGCTCCAGTTTCAAGCACAAACTGACCCTTGCTGGTGGATCCAGAATCTAAGCCTGACTCCGGTGAAGAATGTTTGTCAGCTCTCACTTTTGGAGAGTTGGCAGAACTGACAAAGGTATCTCGCCGACTGAATTCGAGCGCTTCCTGCTTTTGTAGAAAGCCCTAGGCTGCGAGTGCAGCATTTAAAGCCCGAAGATGATATTGCGTGTAAATACGCTGACCTCCTGTGGATCGTTGAAACAGACTCCATCTTACTACGGGATAGTATTGCAAAATTGTAGGCCTCGAAACTGTTGCCTAGCGATGCGAAGTTTCTCGATCCCACTGACTGCAGGTTCTTGAGGGAAAACACACCGCCGTCTCATGACCTTCTCCAATGCCCGGCCCAACTAGCTCACCGCACAAGACCTTTACGGCCGTACGGAGGTGGGAACCACCAACCTTGGGGGGGGGGGGGGGGAGGTCCAATGATATCCCTAATCTTTAATCCCGGAAATCAAAAACCAACAAGTGCAAGGCCATAGACTTGCAATATTGAATGCGCGAGTATCCTGTCAGTCTCGCAGTTGCCACTCTGCACTGAGACGGCTGATCTTTGGCCTACTGCTGATTTTGTTGGCTCCCCAGTACGGCAAGGGACTTTCATTGGCAACGGATATTGATTGAAGATGTGAGTGAACAGTCCAGCTCCAAGCCGGCCCAAAGTGGTCTGATGCAGTCTATTGAGGCTGTCTCCAGAAAAGTTAAACATTTGGCGTGCCTCGACGGTCCACGATAACAGCCCGCCAAATCGATACAAAAAGCAATAATTGAGACTTGATTGATCAACTGATAGGAAAGCCGGGCCGTTTCTCGGAAGTTTACTTCCCGTTCCGAAATCTTCAAATTACTTCCACAGTTCATCGGAGTCTAAAGAGTTCGTAAATCTCCAAGGCCAGGCCATTGCTCGCGAACTCAGGTGATCACTTGAAGAAACATAACTCCATACGTCTGCGTTGGCATCACGCCTGTCACTTAAAATTCCACTTCAAGGGCGAAGAATGGCTATAAAGTCCTACGCGAGTGAATATGGTTACATGATAAACTATAGGAGATGCGTGCCCCAATCATGATTGTAATTGATGCTCAAGAGAAAATTGGCTCCTCATTAAGGTGGGGGTGGAGCAATTTGAAAATGCTTAAGTCCAACAATCCGAGTTCGAGTTAGGTTATCCTGGTCTCCGAGAAGGCTTCATTATCAGCCGATTTATACTACGAGGAAGAGTGAGGAAGATGCGGATAGAACACCAGGCTAATTGTTTTCTAGATTCTCAGACTCAGAGAGCTTCTTTGGTAAGAAATATACGGTACTAATGAAGAGGAATATTTCAGTTACGTGTACGTGGCCATTAAGCTGAAACTGTGCTCGGTGATATTCCACTTGTGTAGAATGCTGTGGAGGCGTCGCCGGCTCGGTAAGTCAGTACGAAGATTGCGATATAAAGTGACGGGGTTACAGGGCATTTACGCTCGCGTAGAGGTCTCAGCGAACTCTAGGGTGCGGTTTAAGGTACTACGGCTGCAATAAGCCTTGTAACTCTAGGCCTGAACTCCTGAATCAAGGGCTGTGAGACATCTACAAGGTGGTAGAAGATCTTCAAGGATTAAGGTGTTGCTGGCGGAGCAACTATGATAGCGCTCGGGCGCTGTGAGAGGCCTTTTATAGGGACCTTTAGCGACTCTGCCCCTGTAAGTACAGGGGATATGCCATCTAAAGGTGTGGTACCCCTTGTTTAAACTTTATAGCGTGCTTATAGGAGGGTAGCCTGGAAATATGGGAAATATAGGTGGCTGTACTGGGTGAGTGCCAGTGTGTCAAATGATTAGATTATATTAGATTGATGGCCATTAATCTAATCTAATCACGAAATATACTCATTAATCATATTCTATTCACGTATTAATTAGATTAATTATAATTAATCTAATTAATCTGATTAATACACACGTGATCCTACACGTGACCGTGCTAGCCTAATCTGGTAACGCTCCTGCCCGCTCTAGCTCTAGTATTATACTAATTAGGGGCGGCAATACTTAATAAGCTACCTAAAGCTAAATTAAAAAAGGAGAAATACAGGAGAATAACTAGTTTATTATTATTAAAAGCTAGAATATAGCTACTATTATATAAGTCCTAGTTTAGTTTAACTAGGGCTACTTATTAAGTACCTTAGTTATTTAATACTTATTAAGTAAATAGTAATTTATTATAGTTACGTAATAGATTAATCAGATTAATTATTATAATTTAATCAAAAAAAACTGAATTACATTAATTGATTAATTAATCCTTTGACACACTGGTGAGTGCTGTAGAAAGAGGCCTGAAAGTGAACTTGCCTCACAAATGCCCTGTAATCCTGTCGCTTTATGCCGCAATCTTCGTATCGAAATTGTTTCTCGCCCAAGAATGGAAATTTAAACCTGCTCGACGCTTTAGTCAGGAGGTACGCTGGGAAAAGGGGGGAGATCGCGTCTTGGCTAAATTTAGGGCGGTGATCTCAAATGAAGGCTTGGACTAGTCCTAAATTAGCAAAGTCGACAAACGAGGCCGGCAGAATTTCTATCACATCTGCCCACATTCGTTTCACACCAACATCCAATTGCCTTGCAAGAAAGCATCTATTTGCTCACTACTGCACAGTCTGTCAGTATGGGACAATGATTACCTTATGAGTACAAAGTCTCGAAACCCTGTCTTCTTCTGCAGCGAGGCGAAGTCATCGTCAGTCGCGAGCATTCCGGGGATCACCAGGGCCCAACCAGAGACCACTCTCACTCAATAGGCTATGCACGTCTTAGCCCAGCGATTCTTGCGCTTTGCTAGTCTTGGGTCAAGGTAGGCTTTCTTAACACCATGCTACTGGCAGTGTCTCTAGAACACCTCGCCATGGCTGCTGCCGAGGCCTGGTCATTGACAACGATTCCGACCATGCTGCATCACAGCTAGTGAATGATCCACTTGCAGAACCTCAGGTCGAGATCACAGCACAAATCGGTGGGACCAGTGGAACAGGGGAGATAAGAACGGTTGAATCTGCGCAGTTGGGAAGGAAGCAGGAAGCTGTTGCCAGGAACGAAAAAAAGACCAGAAATAATGATGCCGAAGACGAAGACAGTGATGGGAGGATAAAGAGCGAAAGCAAGAGCAAGGGGAAGACGAATTGATCTCTCCGGACGGGACCAAAGAAGAATTAAACAATTGGTTACGTATTACCCCAAATGCGGGCTTCTTTGCACATCGAAGGTTGCAAATAACCCTCCAAATCCAGATTGTTTGTAGAGGGAATTGGTATAATTGGCCTGCCGCTGTTGGATCATGACGTCGAGAAAACCATTGCTGCGAGTGGCCAATCGCCCCTCTTGGATCTAGCAGTGGCGACAGGATCCTCTCTTCAGAAGGATTAGAAGGTCCCTAGTCACTTTGGGAAACGAAGAATTCACCTAGGTAGAGAATTCATCAAAAAGTATAATGAACTATCAAGGAAACGGTCTACGTTCAATCAAATCCGCCTTGAGTTTGTTCTAGGCAGTTGGTGCTGGAGAGCCTCCTCAAAGGTCTCTTGATATCCTTCACGAAGGTCAAGCTGTGTTAATCCTTATCACATTCACGCCACCTCCAGGCTCGTTGAAGTTGGGACCCCAGATATCATTTTGCCAACGAAGCATGAAGGCAGCGACTTAAAACTTGGCCATGGTGGACGAGAAAGAGGTTCAACTCTTCCGTCGGGTCTGAATGGAGTTGCACCTCCTATCATGCGCAAGTCTCAATCTCAGCCTAAATTAAATATAGCCTAATAGTGACCATAGTTCGCCGATGTAGAAGCAAACCACACGCCTCTGGCTTGAGGTCTCAAATTGGTTCTACGATATACCCTTGAAAACACACATCCCGGCCCTGTGTGCACTACGGCGGCACTTGAGGCAGAAATGGCCAAGCTCCAACTCATACTCTTTAATATGCCATCTGAATTTGCTTCCCGCGTACCACTTTCTTTCAATCTTCTTGTGCTATGTTTTCTGTAATCTCTCTTCGTCTCTCTAGATTCGTCTAAAGGGGAAGCCAAGCTAACTAGGACCTTTTAGGCTGGGTACAACAACGAGATGGAGTCGATCACAATGACTTTAGCTTCATCCTAGAAGACAGATATGAAGGCTTTCAACTTTCTGTTGCAAGTCTGGGGTGGGAAGATCGCCTTGTTGTCGCTCAACTGCTCGAAGTCTAGTGACGAGGACGGTTAGAAATGCATCGTCCCACGGACTTCCTCTGGTGGAAAATATCACAGCCAATTTTGATCAAAAGCTTGCTACTTGGGAACCGAAACGCGTATATTTGAAGAAGTTATTGAGAACTTGGTGTGCCCGCAGTTGAGAATCTGTTGGGGAAAGATTTCGAGCCGTTCTTTCTCTGGCGCGTATTTTCCCTAGGCCTCTTCCCGCTCCAGCGGCGCCACAGTTATCGACCTCGCCGAGTAATCTGCACCCGAGCCTATATTGCTGTCGGCGCTATCCCGAGTATCCACCCCACTTCAATACCCGGGAACCTCCAATCAAGCTCCCTCGCGCCGCACGGGGTGATTCCCTCGACTGCCTCGGAACCACCACATCTCCGTCCTTGGTTCCTTTCGAGCCAACCGGGCAGCCCATCACGTACTGCCCGAGACTCCCGACAACCCGCATCTCTCACCACCGTCACCAACCACGATCGTCTTCCTCGACCCGACGCGGTACCTCTCGACATGCTCTCTCTACATCCTCCGGCAAATAACACATCTCAATCCACTGTTCCCCCTTCACCTTACCCGGAATCACCGCACTGCCATCTCCCACTCGTTTAGCACGAGCATTACCCAGATCCTCAGCTATCCAGTCAGCCATGCCTCTCGGTATTATCGGTGTCAACATACCTGCTCGCATCTCCCCATCACGCAGGAGAGTAGCACCTGAAGTGACTTATGGAGAAGTTACCAAAAACATGGGAAATTATCCACAGCCCAAGAGACAACGCGTGGATGGGCAGAGTATGGAGTCTGATGCCGATCCTCCTTGAAGATGTGAAAAATCTGCAGATTGCTCGGGCGAAAGACCATTCGAGATCGAGTTTCCAGTGCATCTACGGATTATTGTTGTAATCCGTATAAAACGCTGTTGCGAAAGGGTGAGAAATGCAGCCATATAATTTGAACATAACAGCGTTCGATTAAGAGAGCAAAGAGGTAGATACCGCAATCTTCCAACAAGGTCGTGCCCCCTCTTATAGGTATATGAGAACTCCCAAGTATTTTTGATTTGTTATCCTTTAATGTTCACAGTCCCAGGTTTCGTTTTATTGGGTAAGAACGCCTATGTATGTCAAGGTTTATTTTCTCTCTGTTTTTTTCGCTGATGCTATTCTTTGATGTGAGCAGCGAGAAACCCCTTTTCAGCTTCTCGGTTATCTGTAATAAACGTGACCTGTATTAGCAAATCACAACACAAACAAACAAGCACTATGACTTGAAAGTACAGTGTTGGGGCTGGGCATTTTGCTATGTATAAGGGTGGTTTTGCTCCTGAGAAGTTGTTGATTCTGTGCTCGTCTATCCGTTACCAAAGGCTTATTGCGGTTTCAAGGAGTGGAATTCTTTTAATCTTAGAATAAGTTTTCATCTTAAGATAGTGTATTTTTCCTTTGTTTGAAAGTTGGTCTGTACTGCTATATTTACTTCAATCCTCCTAGATTTGTATGTATTACGTGTACAAAACACATTGGGTCATTAACCAATCGACAAACTACGAACTGCCAAAACGGGACGAGAGTACTTAACGAGTGAGGAAGAAAAGACAAGATCCCACTAAACCTAATAGAGAACCAACGGCAAACCACTGCATGCTTGCAAGGCTGAAACAGAAAGTACTATAGCAGGGAAAAGCAACAGCAAAGGGTAATCAATTTCTTGTCCAATCTCTCAGCGACTCTCGTAATTCCTTAGCTGGCGATAGCTGGCACCAAGGTACCCTTCCCGAATCTCCTGCAGAATTATTAGCACTAGATCAAATGAAATCGTTACTCGAACCCACCTTTCTGCTCTTGTATTCCAAGTCCCATCAGTTTCCTCTCTTCTAGGCGGGGAGGTATTCGTTGAAGCAACAAGACTGTTGTTCGCCGAGACTATTAAAGCCATGATGTGTTGATTTTTCCAATTGGAACATGGATTATACAATCTTTGAAACAGCGCTTTCAAAAATTGCCCACCAAGGTCATGGTGGCCTCTTCGATTGTAGTTCAAAAAGCTGCTCGGGTGATATGCTTGGACGACATTGATTTTATGATCACCGATACTAACCGCCTTTACCTCTCTAGCCCTTGCTGATTTCATTGAGGAACATAGCTCCCGAGCAATCACATGTCCTCCAGGAACCCAGTTCGAGAAGCTTGTAGAGCACTGGCATGATATAACAATGCTGGGTTGAAACATCTCTAGCATCTTTTGAGTCACATCGTAAGCCTCAGAAAGAGCTTGTTGCTTCCTTCCCAGTCCTTCCTTTTCAAGTTGCCTGATACGATCGTTACTCAATAACGGGCAGATATCGAGGATGATGACGTCTGCGAGGCCAAGGCCGACCCCTATCAAGACATCTTCAATCCAACGCAGGGTTCTGCACCTGGCGACCATCGTGTCAAACGGCAGGGATTCGTGTTTCGGCGCGGGATTGAGCAACATTATGACCGGGAATTTGAGATATCCGCAAGCGAGTTTGATATTACTGCTCACTGCGTCGTCGGAGATATTCCACTTCCTCGCATACTGCCGGACATGGTCGAAGCAAGGGTGGTCTGGCAGGAGCTTCCCACTTCCTGCAGCTCGCAGGTCCTGAGTAAGGACTGAGGTGATGACCTGATCGATGGCATCCTTGCGTTGAGTACCCGCGACTGTAGCAAGCTGATGAGTTTCGGTTGATCGAGTCGTATTAAGGAATGTCTGAGATAGCTGAGTAGTCAAGTCATCAATGGCTTGAGATTCGGAGTCGACAGAGCTTGCGGATTGCGGTAAAGTGTAAAATGAGCGGTTGGATTGGCTGGCGAGATTAAAATTCAGCTTTTCCCCTTGGCGTTTTCCAGGTTCGTCTTGCTTGACTATGACTGGTGGTAGGCGGTAATTGGTTTGGTTGTTGAAGGGCATGGTTTACGTTTTCATTTATAACAGATGGAATTGTAAATGCTACCGAGCCGACTTGTTTGCAAGACGCAGGAACGTGATACGGAGGAGTGAATAATTTAGAAAAAGTTGAAGGAGAGATCAGTGCTAAAGGGAAATTGCATGGGAGATTCGAACTTACTTCTATTCGCAGTGGTTGGCGGAATATGGGAGCTAGATCAGTTTTGAGGTCTCTAGAAGGCTATGAGTTGATCTCGCCTTACTGCGGAAATGATGATGGAAACCAACAGAAGTATCAACTAGGCAGTGTTCTACCCTCTCAAACTAGGTGGGGCGGAACAAGGTTGTGTGGTAAGCTACTAGGCAGTAGCGGTCTGTTTTGAGGCCAACAAAGCGAACAGGACCAATGTGATCGTGATTGGAGATACATGACCCCAACTCGTGCTGTTATTAAGAGCCGTGAATGCCTTGTAGTAGGCTTTTTCATGCATATGAAATCCCTCCTGATCCTACCGCTAGGCACCCGCTCCCAAAACCAGAGCTGTAGATAGAGCAGTCACCGTATGCAAATTTGTCCCTTACGACGCATTGACACACCGAAATTTGACCCGGAAGGCTCAGAAGTAAATCTAACCAACAGCATAGCATATCCGAGCGGAAGTCCTGGATTGGTAAGAGCACGATCGATAAGTGGCCGGAAGGTGGTGATGAAACGTTTCTAGCGTCGGCGCGAAAACGTTGCTCCGGGTTGGACGACCACCCCGAATCGCGACGGCCAGGCCCATGTCATTGACATACAGTGGTATGCGCGTTATGCCTGGATCAGAAATTTAGTGGGTTTTGACGATTCTCTCAATTTGCCTCGCGAAAACGAAGATAAAAAATTTGTAAATTTACTTGAAATTATGCTTTATTCTAAAAAAAAATATATATATATATATATTGCGTCAAATTGCGCTATAAAGGGTTTATAATTATATTAAACCTTTATTTTATAATATTATAGTGTTTTAATTTTTCTTTACCGTAACTCTTCAATTAAGCTTTTCTCCTCCCGATTTTTGAAGGTATTGGATCACGTGACTAACGGTGGCCCGTGCGTTACGAAGAAACATTTAGGTAGAAGAGAACTTTTAAACTTTGTTTAAATTTAAGAGTGGTATTTAATAAAAGAAAAGTTTATATAAATATACGCCTTATATAGAGTAAGCTAAGGTAATATTTTTTTAACTAAAATAAACGCGATTTGGTTGAGATATAATAAATTCAAGGGGTTTTGAGGCGCAAAATTGAAAAGAGGATACTCTGTAAAACAGGCACGGCGCGCATGTTACTGTATTCAATGCCACCAAATGGGTCTGAAACACGACCACATGCTTTGAAATCGTAGGGCTTTCTTCGTTACTAGAATTTGTGACTGCTTTTCTAGCGGCCCAAGATAGATCAAGCTTTGCTTCAGCCTGTGAGCCTTCAACTCAGGTAAGTCACGTCTGAGACTGGGACTGAACCAGGGAAAGAGAAGCACGAATCTTGAGCCTTGGGTATGTTGATTCTAATTCTCTCTCGTATCTCGCATTCGACAAGACGGCTTACTTCTCTTTAATAGATGTCCACCAGGTCAATCACCCTCGGCTCAGTCAGCTCGGCAAGCCGGCCAAGCACCCCAAGCATAAATTCTCGCACCCTCACATTCTTCTACTCCTCACTCTTTAGTTGACCAAGACTAATCCAACCTGTCAAGCCAAGCCTTGAACTCTAGCCAAGTCGCCCATTCCTTTACGCCGTGATGAATGGCGCAATGTAGAACTCTGTACCATCTTACTCGCTCTGTCATTTATAAAGCGGTCATCGAAGCTCAAAGATCCTGAAAAGTGCAGCAAGTGGATTTTGTTTCGCCAGTTGGAGCGGGCTCTGAGAAAACATATTGTCGCCCTGCTTCAGAATATCACCGTATTTTTGGTTCCATTCCTTCAACGCGAGCATGCCTTGAAGTGCAGCCGGCGAGCTGAATCCAAGCAGGATATTGCGTTCGCGTTCCACATCCGGCCTTGGCGCTGAATTTCTACCCCCTGGCAATTGCGCGCTAGAATTGGCGTTGGTTTTGCTTCTCTTTTTGGGAGGCGAGTGGACGTGATGTTTCTGGCCAGCATCATGAGACCTTGATGGCCCGTCTGGGGAATAAGACTGGCTGGTGGCGTTGATAAACGGATCGAAGGGAACGGATGGTGACTCTTCACCCCAGCATTCCATCTTCAAGGGATTGACTTCTCCGCTGTAGGCCCTCAGCAAGCCGATCAGCATCCCATACCCTCCATTTCTCATCTCTGCAATCCTCTCGGTCCAGGCTTCACCCCATATCTGCTCCTTGTACGGAGAAGGGCAAGCAACTAGGATGTCGAGGAAGACGATTGCAGCGACCGCTAAGATGCTGGCGCTGAGGAAGGCAGGGATCCAGTCCTGGCGATCTCGCGAGTCGGAGGGTGATGCTGCGAGTTTTTGGTATTGTTGAAAGGCGTGCCGTACAGTGATCCGTGCGGCTCGGATGTTACTGATCAGTTTTGGGATGGATATTGTAAGCGGAGTCCGGCTGGGGGTAGGGACTCCAACGACGGTGTTGTAGAGCTCGCAGACAGAGATTAAAGCTGTGCAGCATGTTTCTAGCGATTTTGACTTCGAGTGCAAGAAATTAGTGAGTCGGTTTGTGGCTGAGGTTGTAGAGTGGGTATTTAGTTGGTAACTTACCTTTGTTGGTAATGAGAGTTGATACACTTGGGCTATATTTGCGAGCTCTTCAAAGCCATCCGAAAAAAGTTGAGTTGACATAACAAGCCGTTTCAAAAAGCTCCATCGGTATTGAAATCCGTCTTCGGCGGTTTCAATCTTAATGAGCCGGTTTTCTTGAGGCAGCAGGCGCCAAGTTCGGCTTCGAGGCATGTTGTGCGGGGCTGAGCTCAGCACTTCCTCCATATGTGCTGTGTGGTCAGTGATGTATCATAACTAAGATTCGGAAAGCTCACCGGGCATGAGAAATAAAACCAAGCTCTCTAGGTTCTCGTTACGACTCCCCAGAGCACTGGGCCAAGTGTTGAAAGAAACTTGCAAGCAGGAAGAACAAAACCCAGGAACTCCAAACTGCTTCATTGTTAGAGTTGGCTCGTTACTGTTATATACTCAAATCAACTTGACCCACAAGGCTCTCGTATATATTACATCGTGAGCATAAAATTATTTCGTCTCGGCCACCATATGGTGCACTCGAAGATTGCGGTACCAAATGCCAGTCTTTGTGGGAATATGGAAGCAAGACTTGGGTGGGAGAATCCAGCTCCCGTTTCCGTTTCGAAGACGATGGTACTGCTACGGAAAGGTGATGTGTCACAGTTGGGCCAACATGTGAGTGCGCGACATCATCGCCAGCGTTCTCAGGCCATATATAAGCACTGGCGAAGGGATTTCCTTGCACAGTTTGAGGACTGAACGAATTTTGAGTCGGAAACCTGAAATATTTAGCTTCAGGATTATGTCAGGTGTGAGATCTTAGCGGAGGAAATGCCGACCATTGCGACGGTTCTCCAAGAGCGGATTGCTCGACTGAACTAGTTGATGGCGAAGAAAAGCTAACTGGGCTGTGTGCATAAGGGAGTGGCTCCTGAAATGAAACTTGATGATGCCAGAAAGTACCCGACTGATTCTGTTCGTATGGCGCTGTTGGTGGCTGGCCTTGCTCGGAACCCTCTGAGACAGAATCGACCGGCCGTCCAGCCTGTGCCCGCCCCTGTGGGCTGAGTCGCGCATCAGAATTTATTGAATCACCAAACTGGCGCTGATCCATGATTCGAGAGGATGGCGTAAAAATCAAAGAGGAAGAGAAGATGAAAAGCGATGGAAGATGAAAATGAGGTTGAAATGGGTGGTCCGTGCGGTCCAGGGGCTGGTCACAACGGTTCCGCGGCTCAGCGGCCGAGGCTGCCCAGCCCCTATTTAGTAATTGCCGTGTCGATCCCACTCAAGGCGCGGAGTTCCAAATAGGGGTAGTATCACGATCGATTTGGACCATGTTGAGCTAATAATAGCTGTCCTGGTCTGTATTTTCCATGGGCCCCAAACAATGTGCTTTAATCACGTACAACAATTCCATCAAGAATCTAAAACTGCCCCGATTGAACCTTTGTAGGTTAATGGTTCCTGGCTGGTTCGGCTACGCAATGCGGGCTCTCAGGGGGCAAATGGGGACTGCATTCTGCGAACTCAGAGTATGCTTTGATATCCAGGCTGTGTCTAGGCTTGCTTAGACTTTCTTCAGGTTTGTTTACCCTCGAATCAGGTGGCATCCTTACAATTCAGTACTCCTATTGGCAACTTCCACGAATCTGTTGGAGCTCCATAAAAATGCGCTATAGAGGAAAGCAGCGTATCAATATTCAACGTCAACTCAACCCTACCGCCCCCAGCTCCTCAAATTACATACTCAGAAACACAAACCTTTTGTCACTTTACTGGCATAGAATTAACAAGTACTTGCGGCATGCAGGTACTGACTCCTCTGAGATCAGCTCGATTTGGCTGCCTTTGGTGGTCGGCTATCCACCCCGGATTGCACCCTTTCGTTGCTTTGCGTTTCCCTCCTAGTTCTGGGATCATTCAGATTCCTGCCATAACCAATCGCTGTCCGATCATCCTGATCTCTTCTCTCATTCTCGATTCTCCTTCTTTTACGGTTGCGCTCAAGAATCTGGTCTGCCGAGGCCAGACCTTGGGCAGTCGTAGACTGATTTCGTACTCCATCAGCGTTTGCTCTTCTGTCACGACTCTGTTCCCCAATCTGAGGTCTAGATATGTCTCGTATGAAGCATTCGACTTCGGCATCATCGGTTACTGTCGGGAAAATTCCCGGGCCGAGGGGGTGCAGTCCATAAAGTCGAGCGTCCCGGGGCTTGGTCCGCGAAGTACCTCTCCACTCACGATTTTGCGTCTCAATTTCGCCGTTCATAGGAGAAGTGACATCAACATTTGTTGGTTGCGCGTCTCGCCGTGTTAGAATATCATTGGGGTTAGGTCGGCTTGTGAGGTGCAAACCAGCAGGATCAATCTCGTTCTCTTCCTGCCGAATTTCTCGTCCTATGGAGGATTGCCGATTATGAGCCAGCAAAATTTGTGGGTCTTGTTGCGAGGGAGCTCGCACTAGCCTGGGGTCCTTCCATCCGCGATGGCTTTTTTTGGAAGATTGGATATATGCGACAAGTCTCACGCCGTTGAGCCTTCGACAAAGCATCTGGATCTCCCACGCAGTCAACATCGGTCGGTGTAAGAGGGTGGAAGCAAGTGCTTGAGGGGTATCGCAACATCTGAGCTCAATATCACTGCCACTCCTGCTGACCTGCTGGAATATGTCTTCCTTGGGGTTTAGCTTGATGAGGTCTACACCCTGCCCAGGTTCAAGAGCAATTTGTGTCTGAAACACTGTGTGAGCAGTATTGAGGCTCTCATGTAATGTGATCTCTCCCCCAGTATCATACTTGAGGCAGACTCTGTTAACAATAGCGTAGACTGCCGTAGAGCTTGAGTCACGAAGAGTTTTCGCCCAATCATTCAAAGAAATATCCATCTTGACGCAAAGCTCTTCTTGTTTTGTGAAGTAAGCAGCAGCAAATTTTCCTCCAGTCAATGGGCCAGTTTTATGGAGCAAATCCAGCACATGACATAGCAGATCCCCTATTTCTCCTCTCTTCTTCCGATGAGTCGCCCAAAAAGCCATGAGCGCGTCGTCATCACCACCCGGGAGGGACAACAGTCCTACACCCCACTGTGTCCTATCCCAACCCGGGTGAGAATATTGAAGATGCCGCTGTACTCTTTCCATGCGGAGAAGGTCTTTCACTCGCCTCCGTCTTGAATTTCCGGTACAATGGCTGATCTCAACCACGAGAAATTGGTTCAGGAAGCAAGGGTTGGCCCTCGTGGGATTTTGGCTGAGTTTATTCCATATGTGGTCCTTGACGGTAGTGCTTGGAATCCTTTTCTGGGTTCCAGATACAGTAATGCCAACATATTGAGCAGCGGAGAACCCAATAGTTCGTGTGTCAAGTCTCCAAGTAGTCTCAGTAGTTCCCAGTGGCACCATAGTCTGAGCATAATCGCTCTCGTACTCGTCAAGTGTGTATCTACAGGTTTTGTTGAGTAGTAAAGATGCGCCAATATACAGGCGCCTTCCCTTCGGAATCGAAAAAACTTCAGTTTCTTTGTCCTTGTTGAATTTGGCTGGTGTGGGTTGGATCTTGGCCTCACCTCCATTAACAGAGGCCCAGCTGTACCAATGGCAATTCACAGTTCCATCAATGTTGTCTCCTGCACCATCTCTCACTCTGGCAATGAATCCCTTCGAAACGTTATATTGCTGAACAGCATTATTTCCGGCTGGAACCGTCCAGACTGGCCCCCAAAGATCGGCAAAAGCTTCCATGTCGGTCAAAATTGACAGCTGCTGAGGTTTTCCGGGAGGCGAGCCATCACCGTGCAGCTGGGGGTCTCTTTCGGTTTCCCAGAACTCAAACACCCAAACTTTGTTTGAATCTAGGAACTTATCCAGACAAGCCAATCTCTTCTGAGAACAGCTGAAATTCCAGGGATATTCCTTGGTGCCCGATACAACTATGCTCTCAAGTTCTTCGTTAATGTAGTGGCCAAATTGCGATCCATGCGATCCCATGTATGCGACGAGGGCCAAGTCGAGCATTAATACCGTCATCCTCAATTTCATTAATGTGAAATTGTTAGTTTGGCCGCGCGGGTGGCCTCTCGACAACCAATCCAATCCCACGATGCCCTCATTGAACTCAACCGAATTTTGCAGGTACCACAAGCTGTCTTCGATGCGCTGGATACTGGAGGAACCAAGCTGGGAGTCCATTTTACCGATGGCATCTTCCAAATCAAACTTCAGATATTTTAGGGTTCGTTTAGAAACTCGGACGACTTCTGCCAGGTCTCGCTTAGGATGCTTGACCAGCATGCTGTAACCTTCACGACAAAATCCCGCGACCTCAAGATAATCCAGGCGTTCTAGGACATTACAGAAGATCAAGTAGCTTTTCAAGAGACTCTCTGCTATCTCCTGGATCTCCTTCGAGTCTGGTCCATCGGTGACAACCTCAACCTTTTCTTTGAAAAGATACTTCCATGTCTGTTCACTAACCTGTGAAGGCCTTCCTTGGCTCAGATCCGGCAATGTGTTGTCAGCGAGATCATATTTCCCTCGGCATCTGAAGAATTCAGACGCATGCACCACATCTCGTTCTAACTCGTTCAATCTCGAATAATGGAGCTGTGGCTCCACAATGTAGGTATCGGGGTCAAAGTCATGCTTCGCTGCTTTCTTCTTCCAATAAAGGAGGGGATCTTCCTCAGAATCTGGCGACTTCGCACGCGAAGCCTGATCGTCCATCGTTGAAAGGAGGTTCGGAGCGGAGGAGATAGATCTGTCGCAATAGGTCTACGAGAAGCCTTGCTGCCTGTGATCTCGAGTCGCAATAAAGCGGCCAATCACAGATATCTTGCGTTGGATATGATTATAAAGGCCGTATGTGGAGCTGCAAGGAAAAGATATGAAGTTCGTTCTGCATCGGTTTCCAGCCAGGTTTCAAAGTAGGAGGGCGGTAGTGATAATTTTAGGCATCAAAGTTAAAAATAGAGCAAAAAGCAATTCTTGTGTCTAAAACTGGCGATGTTACACAAAGCACGTGAAAGGCTTGGTCAATGAAATCGGGCTTCCACTGCAACTATTCGATCACGATTACTAACGCGGTGCAGAATGCGCTCTCTTAGGAGCATAAATTGGGTGCTCCGGAGAGCTTATAGGGGTGAAACATGGCTGGGAGCTATGCCCCTGAACACGTGACATAGGCGCGCAGAGGGTACGAAAGGGGGGGAGCGTCCCATGCAACAATTACTAAGTAATGTGAAGGTCGACCGCTGGAGCAGAATCGGAAGCACTTGTTTGAGACATGGGAGAGAGACATCCACGAATATCGACACTGGCGAAACCAATTTGCCTCGTCCACGATCATCTCAAGCAGCTGTAAGGAGAGCAGGAAGACCCAAGCTTTCGATGGACTAAAGACTCTCTAAATCCTCTTCCCTAACTCTTCTTTCCTAACTCTTCTTTCCTAACTCTTCTTTCCTAACTCTTCTTTCCTAACTCTTCTTTCCTAACTCTTCTTTCCTCCTAACTCTTCTTTCCTAACTCTTCTTTCCTAACTCTTCTTTCCTAACTCTTCTTTCCTATCCTACCACCGAGCATATTTCATTATTATCTCCACTGCCATTAAAACGGGGGTAACGACGAAATGGCTCATGGATCTGATTCCTCAAATCCCACAAGAAAGTTCCCAAGAATCGACATCCTTTCAATTAGGCTGAAAGCCATTGCTCATGTTAAATGCGCTACACAACATGCAGGTTTCTGCATGTTGCAGGCCAGTCGCATCGGCTTCACTGCAATTTTAGCGCAGAAGAAGGCAATCCAGAGCAACTGCCGTTCAGCCCCCACCTCGTTTTCTATCCAATCCCAGGTCGTCCAGGGTTTATTCAGGCCCTTCCTGTACGCTAAAATTGCAGTGCGTTCGCCTTGTCTCCCTCTGCATAATTGTAGTGCTAGCGTGTTCGGAAACGCACCAATACTAGCCCCTGCCCGATCCAAGCCCTCCCTCTATGCTAAAACTGCAGTGCAAGCCGTGGCTCATCCAATAGCAGGCTATAGTCAAGTTAAGAACCAGGCAGCGAAAGAAGGTTCAAAGAACCTCTTTTCTCGTATGAAACTGTAAAGTTAATTTCGACGAAGACATGTTAATTCGCAGAGAGGATAGTACTCGGGAAGTGAAGTAACGATGAGTGTATGTGTGAGGGAGTTAAAACCCCGAGGAAGGTAGAAGACGGCGAGTGAAGAACAAGTCTATACATTTGCATTACTTAATAAATAAATAAAAAGAGAGGGGTATCTATCGTTTCGTCCCACCCAAACGACGCAATCAAAAAGGTCAAGAACAAAAATCCAACCCCAAAGCTCGCAATGCTGCCAAGTTCAAGCCCAAAAGAGAATCCCCTCCAAAAATTGTCCATGCAGAGCGAGCGTAAGATCGTGACCTCGTAATCGTTTCCCCTCCCCTCCTCTCCCCTCATGCCCCATGAAAAGTTCCGTCAAATACAAAACCATTAAACAGTATCCCACCCAAGTATTTCCAACGTGACGCAATGAAGATACGGACCAGCCAGGCTCGCGCCGTGAATTGTAAGCCCTCTCTTGCTGATGATAATGACGCCGCGTACTGTTGGCTCCGCTAGATATATGTATGCCAGCGGCCAGCCAGTGACAATGTTCGAAAGGAGAAGAAGATTGTCGAGATGAAGAAAGAAAGGTTGACCTCCAGGCTTGCGCCTCCGTCTTCGCTCACGTGCTCCTGTTGAATGATGCCGCGTCCTGTTGGCTCCGCATGAAATGAATAAGAGTGCCGCGTCCCGTGGGCTCCGCATCGCCCTCCTTATACACTGTTCGTCCGTCTCCTCCCTTGGACGGGCTTTTGGGCGTACGCCACCACGAGTTTGAAGCTCGAGTTCCACCCCTCGCACTCCTGCAACAGCGCCTGGTCTTCAAATATACTCTCCTTCCCACCCCCCACCCCCTCATAACACCGCGTGTACCAAAACCTCCCCACTTTCGCAACCATCTTCGTGATATTGTCATCTACCTCCTTCGCATCGATCTTGTCACTCGCATTGCTCGAACTCCTCAGCAGATCCGTGAGACTGAGTTCCTGAGACTCCTTACCCCGATGCGCAGCCTTCGCAGCTCGTTCCGCGGGGCTAGGAATCGCTGACGCAACAGGCACGCCCACATTACAGCTCTTCACGCTCGTGAACCCCCTCTTCCCCACCGTCTTCAAAATAACATCCGATGCAGATCCGATCACGAGTCCCGGGTCCGTCTGCTGCAGGCGGAGTTTGAGACCGCGGACTGCGCGCCGACCGCGGTTGCCCATGTTCAGCATATCGACGTCCAGGATCGCCATCTCGAGGAATCCGCCTGGTTTGAGGACCCGCTTGCTTTCACTCACGATATTGCCGTAATGCGAAAGCGACATTGCTGGTGGGAAGCGGAAAACCACGAGTGAGAAGGTGGAGCTTGGGAAGGGGAATTTTTGCGAGGGTGATGGGTAGTGTACTTGGCGATGATTTGGTGGAGTTTGGATTGAGGGGTGCGAAGGTTGAGAGGAAGGGGAGATGGGGCGGGTTGATGAGAGGTTGTAGAATGTGCTGTTGGGGTAGGTTTCGGAGGCGTAGAAGGACCAGTCGTCTGTTTACGTTAGCTTCCATTTCTCTTCAGAAAGTTTGGAGCAGAGGGGCTTACCATTTCCAAGGCCGTCGATAACAAGAATCGAGTGCGTCTTGGAGGAAGAAGGGGAGGAAGCGATGATCTCCTCCTTTGCAGGACTGAACAGCACGTGTCCGAATGTCAACCACTTACTAACCGTCATACTCCCCACCCTCAGATTAACCTGGCTGATCGGCGACTCCTCTCTTCTTTCCATTTCCTGTTCTGGGATAGAGAGCATCGCGTTTGCAGATAGCGAGCGCGAGTGGCTGGACTTGTTTGAACCATCGGAATCGCGGTGAGGCTTGGGAGAGTTGCTGCTGGATGTACGCTGATGAGGTTTGCGAGCTGATGAGCCCGGGGTTGAGGTATTGCGATCTCCATACCCGGAGAAGAATTCCGTGAAGCTCATCGGTGTAGTAGGAGACGGGACCGTAGTAAGCAGATCTTTCATCCTAGCATTCATGTCCGCGCTATAGGTACTGGAAGTGGACATCGCCGAACGTCTTTCGACGGCCTGCTCCTTGATGGAGGGGAACTTTGTCACAGTAGGCGATTCCTTGGGAGGCTGGATCTTGCTCTTCCGTATCCTGCGAGACTCGTAGCTCTCGTATTGGAATGGTACACCGTGCGAGGATGTTGCGGAGGTGGGAACTTTGATCGTGTCATCGTTGTCATTGTTGGGGGTTTCAATCAGGTCATCATATTCATTCCACACTTCATCTTCCACAAGCGCAGCGTCCGGCTCGGGTATCACAGCTGTAGTGCCTGCGAAACTCAATCCGCCAGAAGAGCTTGTTGTAGCTTCAGAGTTTTTGCGTGGTGAGAAGGCAAGGAAGTCCTTGTGACTGGCAGCCGTGCTGTCGGTCTTGGAGTCCGCGGAGCTTTGTCGGTCGTCTTTGCGCACGACAAGGAGGGGTTCGGGAGTTGATGGTTTCTCGGGGCTGGGGCCAACGGCGACGGAGTCTCTATCGATTGTTGTGAGCTGGACTTGGACAGGTTGTATGGTGCTGAGGCGTGCGAAGGGTCGGGAGAAAGATTTTGGTGATGTTGTTTCTGGTCGAGCGGAGATAACCTTGGGTATCCTTCCAACTTGTGGCAGTCGACTGGGGCGAGTTGGTGCTGTCTCTTTGACGAGATGGAGGTCTGTCTTTGGTGGTTCTGGAGTCGTTGGTTCCGGTGTGGTGAAGATGACTGGAGGCTTCTCCTCCGGCACTGACTCTACCTCTGGCATTTCCTTCGCCTCCTCCCGTGTCTCACCAAACTGCAGCAAGTCCAGCTCCTCGTTCGACAGGGAAATGACATCGGCGTCACGGAGGATATCCTCCAAGTCCGGAATGCCCAGCGGATCCTGCTGCTCATCCGAAGAGTCCAGCATAGCATAATGCGGTATGGGCTTGGCAGCGAGTTTGCCCACCGTGACTTGCATTGGAGCTGGTGTCTCCGTCTTGGGTTGCGACCGGTGGAAGAAGTTCCACTTCCTCGGCGACTTGGGACGTTTCTCCAGCTTCTTGGGCTTGGTGATGACTCCTTTGCGACCTCTGCCAACCTCAACTTGCATGTCAACCTGCGACTCATCAGACATGATACTCGCGTCCAAGCTAGTCATCGATCCCGGGCCGGTGATCTTGGAGATGTTCAGCGGGCGCGGGAGATGCAGCGCACTTGCAGAATTGTTCAATCGCTGCATCGACCGCCGGAAAGCTAAAGAGTTCTTCCCGATTCCATCATCGCTGCTATCAGAAGGTCGACGACCTTTTGGTAGAGCGATGGCAGATTGCCGTTTGGCAGCATCCCGGGGAAGCGCGGACGGCCAGAGAGTGGTACGGGCCGCCTCGTGGCTGAGGCTGGACTTATTGGACGATGGGTGTGAGGTCCCGGCCAATGAGATGCTCGTGTTACTCTCCGAGCGGCTTAACTCCGAAGACGCATTTCGGTTCTCGATGATGTCTCCTCCGCCGGCGATGATGACGGGGCTCATTCGCTCGAGCAGGAAGGGATCATGTATCGCGACGCTTTCTTGAGATGAGCTGGCGCCGCTCATGCTGCGGTCTCGACCTCGACCCAGACCGCCAGCACTGCTACTTCGACCCCGGACAGCATATCTGCCATATCCTTCATGTCCAGTCCCAGCTGCCGGTCCTTTTCTCACCGTCTTTTCAACTGTCGGAACCCCAGGAGCGGTCTTTGTCCTTCGTCCGAATAGTCCGAAACGCGGTCTGCTGTTCGCAACACTCGGACTCGGGGTTCGAGTACCAGTAGAAGAGGCAGACTTGCTCGGAGGCCTCAAGTCTGGAATGAGACCCAGACCAGAAGGCGCAGGTGTCCCTTCTCTTGGTGAGGCTATGGCAGGGCTTGGTGAGCCGTTTGAAGGACGACGAGATGCTGGTGATGGAAGTTGAGTTTGCAATGGAGAACTAACAGTGACCCCAGGCAGCGCACTGCGTCTTCGATCTGAGAAGCTGATGCCGGCAAGATTGCTCTGGATGATTGGAGTCATGGTGTGCTGCAACTGTGATTGCAGATCAGGGGCTCCTTCTCTGCTGGGTCGCACCGGAGGGTTGCTCTTTTGACGGGTATGCGAAGGCACCGGTCTTGGCTTTGCCGGCGATGACAGTTCAGGAGAAGTCATGACCAGCTGTGCTGGTGCTTGTGATGGCTTGGAAGGCGACTCCTGCTCCTCAGGGCGATTCTTCTTGAACTTCTGTGACGATTTCCGCGGTGGCGGACTAGGTGGCAACGGCGAAAGCCTCTTCTTTTTCTTCTTCTCTTTCGTATTTCCATCCCCCTTCTCCCCCTTCACAGTCGAGTTCGATGATGACGAAGTGAGTGACTCTCGCAAGGGCGTGAGACTATGTGGCTCGGCAGCCGGGGCCTCGGTCTCATTAGAATTACTTCCAGACCGTCCTCTCATAGTGACCGGAGGCCTGTTCACGGCTGGACTGCCTTGTCGAACTCGTGAAGGGGTCTTCAGGGGAGCTATGATCCCAGGAGACATGGATGACATGGATGTTGGTGTCGTATCCCTGCTGTAAGCGCCGGGACCGGGAGACTCAGAGAAGCGTGTTGATGGACTGCCACTGTAGCCACTTCCACTGTAACCACTATACCTGTGATGACTGCTGCTACCGGAATAGACAGGAGTCCCAGATAATAGTGGAGTAGGTGGGGGTAGATCTTGAGTTGACAGTTTGTGCGGTACCTCGGCGGCAGGTCTGCAGTTCTGATCTGGTATTGATCGATACCTATCCAGCTCCGGAATGATCCTCGGAGCCTCATTCGTAGGTGGCGCCCTCGCTCTGGTCCTGGTGAATATCTCATTGTATGCTTCAGCCGCTCGGAGTGAAGCATCAATGCTCGGCCTCTTCTCCACATGCGACGGGGTCCATTTCGTTGGTGATGAAGAGATGGATCTATCCATGGGAGCCCGAGGACTCTCTGAATTCTGCGCTATAGAAGAAGGCTTCCTTCTCAGCACATTCCGGGACGACTTCGCCCTCAACTCCGGGGGATCCGCCCTGACCGCCTTGCTCGCCGCCCTTCCAAATCCAAACCTCGAACCTGTTCCGGGCTTTTGTACTTCCGGTCTAGCACTTGGTGACGGATCGCGCAAGTTTGGCCTGGGAAATCCCGTCTGCAACTGCCTGTTCGCCGGCGTATAAACCCTTCTCCCCTCCATCTGCCCCGAGATATGTGCAATGTCTGCCTCCCTGTGTTCCTGCTTCGCCTGACCTGGTGTCATATATTGCCCAAGTCTCCTACCCCGACTTGTCTCTGCTGGCCGCGTTGGTGGGTCGAACCCAGATTTGTATGAAGCCATTATTATATCCTAGCTCCTCATTACCACAACGGTGTGTGCTTGGTTCTGTGTTCCTAATGCTATAATATACGACGACGATGTATGTTCGACATTCCCTGGAATTATGTGGCCTTTGTACTAAATGGAAGAAGAGTTCTGAGCTTTGTTAGTCAGAGGAAGCTAAAGTAGGTTGACATGGATGGAGCACTTACATCCAAGAGCTCGCTTGCAATTGCTATCCACAAGTTTTCCGGTCCGCGAGGACTGATATCTAAAAAAGAAAAGGTGCTCCGGGGAAGGTAGCTAGGTTACATCCAGCGGCCGAAGACGAGACGAGAGGGGGCTGAGTGTGGCAATATGGTATGGTGCTCGCACGTGCCGAAAGCCTCCGATATGTGGGTGGGTTGGAATAACAAATGCACCTCCAGGGCAATGAAACGGTGCGACTGAGAAAAGAAAATAAAACGCAATAGCAAGAGCAGCTATTGTTCCAGCAGAAGCAACAAGAGGTAAAGGATGTAAAGGGGGGGCCTGGCGCGTTTAAGGGTCGCAACGATCGAGCACTAGTAACCGTGTGCGTGCCGAACGAAGACGAGGCTTTGGTTTGCTGGTGGGCGAGGCGCCGCCGTGTTTTAGTAACGCAAGCCTCGTTCTGAGTAAACTTGGGCGTTGCTGAGGGCGGGAGGAAGAGTGTCTGGGGAGGGCTGATGGCATCAGATATGGAGTCAGTGGTGGAGAGAGCAAGAAGTACCGCAACCAGCAGGCCGGTGGATGCAGGTGCAGATGGGAGTGAGTGATATCGAGGCTGGCATATGGACCTGTGGCGTACGGCCGCCGGATCCTGGCAGTAACGTGCAGATGCCCAGGGAGCAGGCTTGTTTGAGATCAGTGCCACTGGAATCGCCGGGAGATGGGAATAGAAACCGTTGCAATAGGGAGGGCCCTCGAGGCGGTCGCCTGGGGGAGGACAGGGACATGGAAGAGCGAACGGAGGGGAAATCAGATGGGGGCAAAAGCAACGCAAAGACTTCTGTTGCAGACTCGGAGAGACGCGTGCAAGCTCTGCGCCGCCCTGCAGGTCCTCAACGCTTCCGCACGCAGGACGAATACCGCATGCTGTTGAGGCCGATAGGGGGACCGCAGGCCCCGCGGTGGGAGCGGTGAAAGGGGATTCGCTGTGCGGGGTGGTCGACGAGGCAGAATCGCTTGCGGACTTTTTGTGTGGTGGTTGAGCCTGCAGCATCGGGCAGCAAATCGCCGCCAACCCCTGCTGGCAAGGTCTGCGGGTTGCTGCTAGGCGCCGAGTCGCCATTCGTCGGCTAAGTGGGGGGGAGGGGGGGGAATGGGCGGAGGCTGGTCGCCCAGCGGGGCCTGCATCGGCTTGAGCGACACTGCCAACTTCCAAGCGAAGCGATGGCGCTTGTCGCTTTGCCTCTGTGCCTCTGTGCCTCTGTGCCTCTATTTTGGTCTCTGTCTAAGAGACCAGACCGTGGCCCCCTCTGGGCGGTGGGCGGCCTGCTGCGGCACTGCGCTTCTGACGATCATGTGCCTGTCATTGGACCTGCTACTATGTCATTGAAGCCACTGCTTCGCTCATGCCCGTCAGCTTTCAGCGATACCTGGGTACCTCTGCTTCAGTTGTGGTCCTCCTTCACGTCAAGACAACCTGCTGACTCCCCACACCCGCTGGCCATTTGCTTGCCGGCGATCCCTTCGCGGCCACCTGCGGGCCGCTCACTTGTCAGGGTCCTCGCCCTTGGCCATGGTCTCTGTGGTCTCCCGCTGGGACCCCCCCAAAGCGCTGACCCTTCCGCGGCGGGCAGAGCCGTAAACCAGCCAAGCAACAGCGTCAACCGCCCACGGGAGGGCGAGGGGGTTGATTCCTCATGCTCCGACCTTCCTCTCATGCTGGTGCTGATGCTGCTGCTGCACTCAAAATGTCATTCCAAAATAGCCGGCATCGACACTAGACTTCTCAGCCCGCTCATTGGACGAGAGCGGAAATTTCTCATCCAATGGATCTGGCGATTTTCCAGCCGGCGGCTCGCCAATTTCAGGAGGCAGCCCCTGACCCGCCCCCAAACTCACATTCGGCACCTCATGTCTCTCCCTACCAGTTCACAAGGAGAAACCAGCCAATGGGCCTCTGAAGCTGCTATCAAAATCCCCCTAGATCCGCAAAAGCAGCCCGAAACGGAAAGTCAAATTTGAGTTGAAGGGCGAAGATGGACATCTACAGGGATCGTCACAGCCGGGAGGAGTTGCCTGGGAAGCACGCTCTCATTCGATGCCGCCGCACACCGGACATCGTCAGATTCGACAAGTCCTCAAGTCGATCCTCTCCTCTCCTCCGATCGAGCATGAAGGAGACCTGTTTTGTCTTGGTTGCAGAAGAGGAGCCTGATGTCAGCCTCGAGCCACCTGACTCCGATCAATTGGCGAAGATGCACCCGGATTCCAGGAAACTCTCAGATCACGTTCCCAGCAAAGCTGAAGCGCGCATTAGCGAGGGGCAACTACTGTGCGCTGGCGGAGCGGCGTCTCCTGCGTCTGTGAATCCTCGGGAGTCGGGACTGATCATCGCGATTGTGGCGGAGTCTGTGCATTTACGAAGGCGCCACACTGGCTCTGCCTGGAATCAATGCGACGATGTTCTGACGTGGCAGGCGAACTTTCCTTCTCGGTGAGGTTTTTGGCCATGATGCTGATGATCACGACGTGCCTGTCCTGTCTTCCATCCAGATATCAGAATCGACGCGAGTCTGGCTCGAACACTCGGCGGAGGGAGGGACAGGGTGCAGCTGTGACGGACAGGGTTCTCCGGATTGTCATTGGTGCATGCACGTGTGTGGCTTTTCTGCTTCTCGGAGCCGGTAAAAATAACGTGATGGCGAAGGGTGTGCGCCCCCTGTCCCACAACCCCCTCTCCCACACAATCCACACTGGTGGATCGTCTGGATCCAGGATCAAACACCCTGTTGGAGACGTCTGTGTGGTCCTCGACGGGCAAGCCCAAGCTTTGTTCGGATGATATGCCTTCAGGATGCAAGCACGCTTGCCTGTGGCTTGCTCACAAACAACCATTTTCGGCCTCCAACATCTCTCTCTGTCTCATGTCAGCACTCTATCTCTCAACCTATTAAGCTCTCGAATCTCCTCCTCTCGCTCCCTATTTGCAGGACCGTATCTTCCTTTCTGACCCACGCAGCGACCGTGGACGGATGTAGACTTCTTCCTTCTTGGCACCCAGACCCAAAGGCGATCTCCAGGGGTTACACAAAAATATCCACACCCCACCTTCACCAGATTGGCCAACTCTGACAACCACTCAGATCGCAAAACTCCATCTCTGCATCCTCATTGCTCAACCCCCGAACCATCAAACCTCCCCTTCCAAGATCCACAAATCCACACCAAGAACATTCTCTGATTCTCCTTACAGACCTCCGGCTTGCTTTTTCCTGCCACTCCTCACCCAGAACCACTCCTTTTCCCTACCCGTCGTGCACCGGGCAAGCTCTTCCGCGCAAGCCTCGACCATGGATGTCTCGCGCGACTGCTCTTCCCCTAGCCAAACGGCAGACGAAGGCGACGATACTGGACGTTGAACTCTCCAAACGGCACAGATATCCAAACACCAAACCACTGCGCACCGCATCCCTGAATCAGGAAACCGCGGATAGGTGAGAGATATGCCTTCCAAACCGCCACCATGCAATCCCCACAGGAGCTGTTTCAGAATCCTCGATAGCCATTGCAGGAACACATCACACTGCACTTGCAGGACGATTTCTTGCTGGCCCTCGTGCAGTATCGTGTTGTGCATGGCATGGCAGCATGTGAGTAATCACGTTCCATCTCTGCAAGCAACAGCATTGAGCGTTGCGGGGTAGCACGGGACGACGTGATACTGTATCAAACTGGAATTTCCCCGAGACATGAAGCCACAGCACACCTTCTGGTTTCATCAAGGTAGCACACTCGTGCCGTGCACAGAAAATTCTTCACGCTATCAATGTGAGCAATCATGAGGGTTGTGGGGTAAGCCAGGACCAGAGGATTCACACATTGGATAGGAAGGTGCCGTCCGTATCCAACAGAACATTATTCCATCAAGCCACAGGTGTCCAAAGGCCTCTCTTGTTTCACATCACTGGGGCGCGGGAGCGCGGGAGCTCGGCACACTTGTGCACAGAACCCTTTCAGCGCGAAGAACGCGATATCACGTTGGCACGTTGTGGAGTACGTCTCGACTTTTGAAGTTTTGAGTTTCGCTCGGCACCACTTTGGAACAAATTCTCCAAGATCGCCCCAAGACGCTCACGCTACTACGCGCTGTCATTTTTCAAATAAAACTCAAAATTGTCTCTTGTTTTTCTAGTGTACAACGGTACGGAGCCGGGAAGGTGCCCCGCTGATCTGATCGATATCTCTGATCTCCTTCCGTACCTGCCAGTATCTCCGTTTTTAAAAGTTCCCAGCGCAGCGCACGCAGTATCAATCGTAAGAAATCCCCTGCCTCGCGTTGATATCTCTCTCTGTGCAATCAATTCCATGTCCCCATTTTTGAAAATGCCAGTCCGTTTATCAATCCGCCCGTAACCCATTTCTCGTGAGGTCACATTATGCGGCCAAAGGTTTCCCAAACTTCTTAGCCCTCGCCTCCATCTTCGCCCTCTCGACCGGATCATCAGCAATCTTCCGACTTGGCCCCTTTCCCTCCCCTCCTCCACCACCCTCCTTCTTCCCCTCTCCCTTACCGCCCTCACCCTTTCCCCTCGGTTTCGGGCCCGTCCTCCGATCAGGCGTCTGTCTCTTAGCCGCCCTCCCCTCTGCCCCCTCTCTACCTTCCCGTCCCCTCTTCGCCTTCCGCTCAGGCAACGCGCTATCCAGCCCCTTGACAACACCCTCCTTATCCGCCAACCCAAACTTCTTCGCGCGCTCAGCTAGTTTCTTCGCCTCCTCATTCGCGGGAATCCCAAATCTCTTCGCTCTTGCAGCTCGCTTCTCGGCTTCCGTTAAGGCATCGGATTCCTTCAACCCAATGCTGAAATCGGGCTTGGGTTCTTCGGGTGCCGCTTCGGTGGCAGCTTCGCCTTCGGCGGTTGTAGTTGTAGCGGGCTCTGCAGATGTGGGGGCGGGTTGAGTGGCTTTCAGGTCGCTGGTTGTAGAGGGCTCGGTATCGACGATTTGGTTCGGGACCGCGGTGGGGTTTGGCACGGCGCCTTGGCCGCCTGCTGCGACGGCCGCTGCTGCGGGTTCGGTGGTGGCCTTGTCGTCTTCGTCCCAGTCGATCTCATCTTCGCCTGCTGCTGCTGTGGAACATAGAGGTGAGCAAACAATCGCCTTGGAATGAGGCCGAGGATTGGAGATGTGGTGGCAGGCTGCAGGAACTGGAAGTTTAAGGGAAAGGGGAAATACCAGCGCCGCCACCAGACTTTTTGCTATCATCCTCCTGCAGTCTCGCAATGAGGTCTGCCTTATTCCCCGAGATAACGAGGCCACGCTCTTGTAGGAGCTTCTTCAGATCGGGCACCTTTTCCTTTGAATAATCCGCCATCTTGGCTGTTCGGCGCTGATGCGCACGTGTTGCTTGTGTGGAAAGAGGGTTGCGACGAGGCTGTGGTTGTGGTTGGAGGAAGATGAGGTTGTTGATGTTGCGCGTTGCTGTTGATGCTTTATGATGGAATTGACAGGGATGCGCTAAGCGAGGAAGCACAAAACTTCGTCTTTGACGTCCATTGTTCTTCACATTGTCGTCTACTCAAAATATCATGGAGAATTGTATCCAGAAATCGACTTCGACAATTGAATATCTGTAGAGGATATATTAATTTTCGTCATCGTGCTGGCTCAATTGAAGTTCAAGTGGATTTCTTTCCAGGGCGGCCGACAAACGCGTCATCAGCGAGCGGCTCACAGTCTCACTGCATTCTTTCCATTGGAATGCAGCTCGAAGCATTTCAGCCAGCTTCATACAGCTCTTAATCGTGTGGCTCTGGTGCCTTTTCCTCGCGTTATATATCCTCTTTTCCCTAAGTTTGTCAAACCCTTCCCCTCGTCATTCTCTCAATACCGCATCCATTTCGCACCATCTCCCTCCCCCTCCCCAGTCAACCCCTCCTCATCCACCAATTCAACGCCCATCACTAATCGCTGGCTTACCCACCATCTCCACCTTCTAAAACCAGTATTGTTTCTGTAGCGCACAGCGCAACACGAATCTGACTGAGGTTTAAGGTTATGCCGCGCATAGCCGAGTAACCTCAAATGCCTAATTACGGTAGCACACTACTCAAGCTCTTGAAGTAGATAGCCTACCAAACTGTTAGCGGTCAGCTTCCGTTACGAGAACCATTTAAGACCCTCGATTCAGAAATCATTTCATACAACTTATCCTCACGTTTCTTTTCCTGAGGGGCTGGAAAGGCAGGCACACTCCTCGGAAACCACCGGATACAACTGGCCATGCTCCTCCAACCACTCCTCGACCACGTCTCCCTCCAGGCGCTCCCAATCCTCGTGATAGGAGTCGTCGTCAGTGTAACCGTTCCCCTCCCTCTCCAAAACCCCACTAACATCCACCAGATCCTAGCAGCAATCACAATCTACAACGCCCTCCTCTCTCCCCTGCGGTCCTTCCCCGGTCCCACCCTCTGCGCACTCTCCCCCTTCCCACAACTCTACCACGGCCTTGCTGGAGACCGACACGTCTGGCTGCACACCCTGCACCAAAAATACGGCGCCCACGTACGCATCGCGCCAAACTTCATCAGCGTAAACACTGTCACCGGGCTCCACGACATCTACGGCCACGGCAAGAAGATCCGCAAATCGGACTTTTACAGCGCGTTTCCGGCGATCAAGGGAGTCTGGAATACGCACAATGCTATTGATAAGGGGGTTCATGGACGGAAGAGGAGGGTGTTGAGTCAGGCGTTCAGTGACAATGCTCTGAAGGGGATGGAGGAAGTTATGCTTTTGCACGTTAGGCAGCTTTGTTCAATTCTGGGAGGGAAGGGTGAGGATGGGAAGGGGGGGAAAGGAGGGAGCTGGAATATGGCGAATTGGTTCAGTTATTTGAGTTATGATGTTATGGGCGAGCTCTGCTTTGGGAAGAGTTATGATATGCTCGTCGACGGGGCCCGCCGAGGCGTAATCGGGCTTGTCGATCGAGCTGCGTTTCGGCATTATGTTGTAAGTTCCTTGCTCCCCAACCCACAAACGGGAGATAAAATCATTGACTAAACTCCGGTAGTGCGGTCTCTGGCTCCCCCTCGACACCTGGCATCTCGACCAGCTCTTCATCCGCCGCCTCACCCGCGACAGATGGTCCTTCATAATGAACTCCCGCATCGAAGCCACGGCCCGCGCCAAAGCCCGCTCTGACCTCGGCCACGAAGCAAAGAAGGATTTCTTCCACTACCTGCTCAACGCCAAGGACCCGGAGTCCGGCTCGGGCCTCTCAACCCCCGAATTATGGGGTGAAGCGAATGTGTTGATGATCGCTGGCTCAGACACCACTTCTACGGAATTGACAGCTACTATCTTTTACCTGGTACGGAATCGGGCGGCGCTGGAGAAAGTGACCAGAGAAGTGAGAGAGCATTTTAGCGATGTGGAGGAGATTGTGAGTGGGGCGAAACTGAACGAGTTGAGCTATCTGAAATGCTGTATCGACGAAGCGATGCGTCTTGCGCCTGCGGTGCCAGGCGCGCTACCGAGAACCGTGACACAAGGAGGCGCAGAAGTCGACGGTGTGTTCTTGCCCGAGGGGACAGAAGTCGGAACACCGTGCTACTCGATCCAGAGACATCCCTCCTATTTCCCTTCCCCCAATACATTTATCCCTGAACGGTGGATTGAGGATTCCGCCATTCCTCTCCCTTCCGAACCGGTGGAATGGAGAGTCACGAAGGAGGAGGTGGAGTTCGCAAGAAAGGCATTTTGTCCCTTCTCCATTGGCCCGAGGGGTTGTATCGGGAAGGGCATGGCGCTTATGGAGATGAGGTTGACGCTGGCGAGGTTGTTGTTCTTGTTTGAGTTTGAGCATGTCGGGGATGGGGTTGGTGAGGATGGGGCCGGGGATTTGAAGACGGTGGATCATTTCACGAGTCAGAAGACGGGGCCGAATGTGCGTGTTCGAAGGAGGGGGACCTGAGATAGTGATGAAGTGAAGGGTTGGTGGTGAGGGGTGGTGGGGTTGTGAATAGTTGCACAGTACAAAATCAATTGAAATAGAAGAGTATGACAGAATGGAGAGATATTCATGATTTATCTAGCTTTCTGATTGCCAATCATATAGTTGTAGGATATATCGCAGACCTCTTTCGGTTCTGACGATAATGACACCACACGGCGCGACAGGCGCGGTCCATCCGACGAATCCTGCGCTGGTCTGTTGGCCATCGAAAATCTTGCAAATATGATGGAGAATCGTGAAATCCGCCTCTGGAGTAGAGGAGATCTAAAGAGATGTGCCAAGCCCAGCGCGGAGGAAGTGAGGAATCATTTGGGTGTAGGTTGAGGTCCGATACTTAGCAAATGCTCCTATACAAATCACTGTATCTTCAGGCTACCAGCTTGAGGTAGTTCTAAGAATTCTGAGTGTTCGTTACTCACTTTAGCCACCCTTTAGCTACTTTTATAGGCCTCCTTAAGGGGTTACGCCTTATCTACGATTGAATCATTATATAAGTACCGCGCTTCTTTAGTAATTAAGCTATAATAAATTAATTAATAAATTAAGTACTTTCGTTTTTTAATGAGACCAAATATTAGGTCGTGATACTCTATAATTAGAGGAAGTAATTACTAAAGAAAAAGTGTGTTTTAAGATTAAGATTACCAGAGATTACTCTAAACCCTCCGTAATTGTAATAATTATCAAGTATCTAAATCTCGCCAAACATTTCTAACTTACCCGAATACTAGCTTTGAATGTCGAGTATTAAAAGCTAGTAATAAAATATTTACTGGCAATCAAAAGACGTGCGTTCGTTCCAAACCGGCCCTCAAGTCACTTGTAGCAATTGCAGCTCAGACTCCTGTTAGTAAATCAACAGGATTTAGTCCTTATTGTGACGGATACGTAATTAAAACTATACTAGCATGACATTGTAATAGGCTCGAAGAGGTACAGGTATTCTAGAGGGCAAATCTTCTTCTAGTTTTGTCTTTGAAGCCGTGGAGATTACAAGCAGTGGTCAAAGACGTCAAAAAGGAGCACTCTTCCCGTATTGTCCAACTAAGTCATTGGTGAGAATACCAATAGCTTACGTCTAAGACAAACATGCACTTTCTGAACTATTCTCTCTCTGATACTGTAGCTATGTTACTTCGCTAAGTTGCTGGAGATAAGGAATCAACTTTGAACCTATGACTTTATGAAACCGAAACCATTACGGAGCAAAGCTAGTGCATTAGGATATCAACATCTAGTTGTACTTCAACATCAAAGTTGTAATCTCCTGGAAAATTGGTGCTCGAATAATATGGGAAGCCTCGTTTTGAGATTTGAAAAGGGAGCCAGTACGGCCAGAGTCGTGCCTGATTCAATCCAGCCTAATCTCTAGGTCAATTTTAGGTAAAGGTTTTGCCCCTTTCTCTCTTTCCCCACAGCTTCCCCCTCATGTGCAACAAGTCACCTTACCAGCTTGTCTACGCAGGACGTCAATCAACAGATGAGCATCCTCACTCGCCGACACTTTCGAGACCCTCCCTGACCCCCTATCGAGGGCTTCTATCTTTCTACTTGCAGATCTGGGAGTTTTTGGTGGTCTGGGTAACGCCATTGATGGTTTGGGAATGGTGATGCTGCAGCTTGCACATGTCTGCCACGTTGTGGCGGAGGTCATTTGAGACTCCAGAGTGTGGAACTGCACCCTATGCAAAAAGAAACGACTCCTTATTGGATTATCAATCGGGTGTACTTCCTATTACAGTAAAGCCCCAACGTGAAGTGTTTCATAAAGAATATTGTTAATGCTGCCCTGGCAGCGATCCCGTCCCGCTACCAGGCCAGAAAGTTGGGGAATTCGTAAATACGGGCTCTCCCGGAAGCCCTAAAATCCCGCGACTTTTTGTGGCCCAATGACCTGGGTTGAAGGCAAGCCCCTGGCATGATTCCCGAACTTCCCCGCATCACCAGTGACCTCCTGTCCCGTGTCCTGGCTTCCACGAGAGCGGATGCTGCGGTACCAGTGCCCTATGAAACTGGGGTTGACTAGCTTCTATCAACTTTAGTAACTTTACACAACGTACTTGTAGCCCCGGTCCTGTCCATCCTTCGTTTATGGGTCTTCTGGCATTCCTCAATCGTGAAGGGCTGAACTCAAGCGATTTTTACAGTTACAGTTGCCAAGAAATTGGTTCAGCATCAACGTACATACTTGCCTGCCATGGTATCAAAATGTCCAGCCGGGGTTAACTGCACCCACAACCGCGGTCCATCCATCGCCCCAATTATTTTGCCGATTTTTGTGCTTGCCGTCCTAGCCGTCGCTGCTCGAACATATAGCAGACGTCTAATTAGGCAAAGCAGGACCTCTTCAGACTTCACTATCATTGCTGGACTTATATTCTCAGCATCAGTAACTGCGATGGTTCTGTACAGTGGGCATTGAATTCTGACTCTCTTGATCGTAATACTATGAAGCTAACTATTTGATGCAGGTCCCCGACTCGGATTGGGTCGTCACATAACAGAAGTTCCCCCCGAACAGATAGAACGTCTTCTGATATCCCTCTACGTGGGCTGTATTCTCTACGCCATCGCGATAGTAGTCATCAAAATCTCCATCTTGCTGCTATACCGCTCGCTTTTCCCGACTCCGGGAATCGACTTGGCAACAAAGATTATTGGAGCGGTAAGCGTTGCTTGGGGACTAGAGACGGCTCTGGTTGGGATTCTATCTTGCAGGCCTATGAGAGCTTTTTGGGATATCACAGTCACGGAAAAGAAATGTATTAACACGACTGCCTTCTTTATCGCCAACTCAGCAGCACACGTTATAATCGATGTCGCCATTTTGACTCTGCCGATCAGGAAGGTTTGGCCGTTGAAGATGTCTGTTCAGAAAAAGATTGTTGTGTCCTTCATGTTCTTGCTTGGCGGATTGTAAGCCTGCATTTTGATATTTGAGCAGTCTATTTTGAAAAGCTCCGCATTGACAACCTCACAGTATTTGCATCATCGGCATCATCAGGCTGTTCTTCCTAGCCACGCTGAAAATGACGGATGTAACGTACAGCTTAGTTGACACGTATGTATGGAGCTCCGTCGAAACTAGGTGAGTCTACCTCGGCACCATTTCTAAAACCCAAAAACTCACGCTGCCTATAGTGTCGGCGTTATCTGTGCATGCCTTCCAACTCTCCGACCATTATTTACGAAGCTCTTCCCTAAGGGCGGGTTCGAGACCCGAGTCGCGACTGCACCTCAGCTTTATAGCACAGACAGGCACCAGCCGCATAACCAACTCGACATTGAAAACTTCGAGCGCATTCCTGAATATCAACTTGGAAACCTTTCGCCAGGCTCAGATAGTAACAAGGCAATTGTTGTTACTCGCGTGGTGAAGCAGGAGGATCGTGTTGGAAAATTGAGCCTGGATTCAACCAAGGAGTTGTGGAGGTACAGCCACTAATATATCATCACGAATTTATTATCTAATTGCTATGGATTGGACTGTTGCCAAGGTTGTAACTACGAACTGCTGGTTGTGTACTCAATAGTGTATGGGTTGTTTGGTATACTATCGCAATCCATGATATTATTTTTTACCACCCATAATCGACCGTGCGTCTATTTTGACGTCGAATTTCAACTCTTGACTCGGTATCTCTTCAGAAAGCGCCGCCAGAAACATTTCAATCTCTCAATCTCAGCTCAAACAGAGCCCTCGGACACTTGACTGCATAGTGGAAGTCCGCGTTGTCCGGAATCACGAATCTGTCCTTGTCCAGGATTGTGATCTCATATCGCCAGCAGATCTCTGCCAGAAAGCCCATAACCTGCTTCTCCGCAAACACACGTCCAGGACAATAGCTATTCCCGCCACCAAATGGCTTGAGTGTCTTGGTATGGTTCTCGCCATCTCCACCGAGCTCCTTAGGCAAAAACCGGCGAGGCTTGAAGACATGGGGTTCTGGATGCAATGAAGGATTCATGTGCACCAAGCACGGGGGACATGTGACGATACCGCCTTTCTTAAGCTTGAAGGTGCGATCGCCACTTACTAGCTCCGTGGGTTCGAGAACCTCTCGAATGGTGTTCGATACAGAACCCATGCGGATTGCTTCCCAGAACGCTGAGCGTAGGAGCGGTAGGCCGAGAGGGAAGAGCGAGACATATTCTGCTGGTGAGAGAGATCCGTATCCAGCATCTTGTAACTCCTGGCGTATGTCTTCAACGAGACTGGGGGAGTATAGGAAACGGAGAAGGGCCAGGTAGGCGGTAGGAATCGAATTCGCGTTGGAACTATAGATTATCAATGAGCTGAGCGGTGAGGCATGATTGCTGTTCTCACCCGAAGAGCATACTGAAAAGTTCTCTTGCAATAACAGTCTCTTCCATGCCTTGATCCTTTAGAACATTCATACGAGCGGCTATGAACGGAGAAGTCAAGCTTTCATCCTTCTCCACCATCTTGATCCAATGTTCAATATTCCGCACTGCCCGCTCACGAGCGGTGAACGGCCGTGGAAAGAGGAGGCCAGGGGCTGGGGCGCCAGATAGCAGGGGCCAAAAACCCTCTCCGGCAAACACAGTTAGATCTGTAAGCATTTTAGGATTGAGATCGAGCAGAGACTGGCCAAAATACGCTTGGACGGAGGCGATTCCTTGGGTGTCGACGACAAACACAAAACCATCCTTGGTCACCGATTTCGTTGCGCTGTCCTTGATATCCTTGTCTAGAACATTGAACACCTCGTCCAAAAGAGTGAAATATCTTGAAGCTTCAACAACATTGTTCTTGGCTGTGAGGAGGTACTTTGTATTGAGCTCGTGGATGACTGGCTTGATGGATACAAATTTAATGGCTTCCTTCTCAGACATTCCGAAAAGATTACTCATGATCATTTTTATGAAGTTCTTGATGTCGAGGGTTTTCGTCTTGTGGATAGTCACAATATCGGCAAGGTTGTTGAATACATAGTGCTTGCGACCTGCGACCAGTATAGAGAAAGGCTGGCCGTTTCTCGAGGCGCTGTGCATCATTTTAGGAGCCATAGCACATAGGGACTGATGAGAAAGCCTACCTCGATTCGTCCATGAACTTTCGATGATAAGTTGTGAACCCCAGCGCGTTTCCTAGGACTGGGATGGTATATGGGACCGGAGCCGGCTCGTCAGCCGTATACGATGGCGTCTTCCACCAAATAAGCAGGAGCAATGGAGTGACGATCACCACAACAACAGTGGCGATAGTTTGCAACATCTTCAATCGATTGTCACCGACGGCGGTGACAAGCTAGATGTCGAGTGGTGATGGGATAGATGTCGAGTGCCGATGGGATAGATGAGCATAATAATAAACACCAAAGATGAGGAAGCTGACTCGATGACCACTGGTTGAGTTAGTATCAAACCTTGCAAGGTTGTTGATTGGTTCAACGACGTCAACGGCGCAAGAGGATTTCGGCCGACGTGTCGGTTTAAGGACCAATTATGTCAGCCTCATCTCATCTGCGGAAAGCCAGAAGGATCCGATGACCAAGCGAGAAACCTAAAGCAAAACGCAAAACGTAAAGTGTAACGGCGGGATCAATGCAATGGTCGAAGGCTCAAAGTTCAAAGAATCTCATGTATTGGAAAATACTAAGCTGTAGAACAAAGTAGGGAGGATGCCTCGACCTTTAGTATTGTTCCGCCCAAGCAATTCGGGCTTAGCTTCGTTTTGTGCCTGTTTCCGATATCCTGTCGTTGGCAGATCATGCCCTTACGCCAGCCGTCACACAAAGCGTGCTTGCATGTTTCACCCTACCAAAATTCGCCTACATCCATATACCACACCCCCACCCCCTCTCCCTCTCCCCAAGCCTCTACTACTATTTAAAACATTCAATCTCTCTCTTGAATTCTTATATATATAAGTATAGGGGGTAGAAAAGAGGGGGTATTAGGTGTTGAGCGGATTCATGCCTCAGGTTCCTGTCTCACACCCTTGTCTAACCCCCCTTAACTACCGGCCCCCTAATTTCTCTATAAAAGGGGCTTGCTGCAATCACAATGGACCATTCTTCCTACTTATTATCCCTGACTCTAAAATGCTCGTGTGACATTAGGTTGGGGAAGAGAGAGAGAGGGAATAAGGAGGGCGAGTAAGTAAAAGTAAAAAGTAAACTTCGAGACTCGTAAGTCGCGAGGAAAAGGAAGCCTCATAATAATAGGCTTCTTATACTAAAAATGAAATACTGAACTTTTCGTACGACATGGTACGGATTTTTAATGTAGTCTCCATCTCTCTCCTAATATTTCCCCTCTCCTACCCCTATGATTATATGTATATAGATAGGAAGTAAGGAGAGAGGGTAAGTATTTTAAGTAGTGGTAGCAGCACAGGGAGAGAGGGGGAGGTGGGGTGAAGCATGCAAGTGCGAAGCTGAGTACATGTAATCCTTGAGGTTATGGCTTTCCGTGCGCCGTACGAAGGCGAGCGGCATTGAAATTCGTCCAACCTCCCAAGCAAGGGCTGCGAGGACGGGCGTAATTTTGCCGAAGTTAGATCTGCTTCTTTTCTATTATGCAAAGGATTGCTAAAGAGTTTTAGGCGTTCCGTTGAGATTTGCTGTGATTTTCCAATTGTAGCGATTTTCGTGTTTCTTGGCTGCTGGCAGCTGGACGGTTTTCAACGCCGCCCACCTTCGTACTCTAGCCTGAGCTCCCTGTGTTGAACCCTGAATTGAAAAGGGACTGGCCTTAAGAACAGACAGAACTTTTCATTAGTATCTATACAATGCTCTACAGATGACCCCCCGATCCGGCCACACTATTCCTCTGCAGTCGGCGCCTCAGCAACGTCATTTTCGGTCCGGGTTTGCTTTTCCCACATGGCAAAGTATCTACCCTGAAGGGCTAAAAGTTCCTTATGCGTGCCCCGTTCCACAACTTTCCCCTGATGAACCACGATAATCTGATCTGAAGTGGTGATTGTCGACAAACGATGTCTGCACGTGCTATTAGCAACACTTTCCATTCATGTAGATGGGAGTTACTTACGCGATGGTGATGGTCGTACGTCCCTTAGTCACCATCTCCAACGCAGCCTGGATTTCTCGCTCAGTATTCGAGTCCAGAGATGCGGTCGCCTCGTCTAGAAGGAGAATGCGACTGTTTTTGAGAATGGCGCGCGCGATAGCAACCTAGCAAGGGCTATGTCAGCAATATCCCGAGTGCGGTCTAGTTTTCTCTTACACGTTGACGCTCACCACCAGAGAGCTTTAGGCCCCTTTCGCCAACTTTCGTATTATACTGTTCTGGGAATGCGAGGATACGCTCATGGATGTTGGCAGCTTTGCAAGCGTTGAAGACATCGGCGTCCGAGGCATTGGGGTTGGCGTAGCGGAGGTTATACATGATGGTTGCGTTGAACAAGACGGTGTCTTGCGGGACGACACCAATGTGCTTTCTCAGGCTGAGCAGCGTAAGGTCACGGATATCATATCCATCAACAGTGATAGATCCACTGTCAACGTCGTAGAATCGGAATAGAAGTTTCAGACATGTTGATTTTCCGCCCCCTGATTCCCCGACAATGGCTGTCTTGGTTCCGGGTGGGATGGTAAAGCTTATGCCATCGATGGCCGGTTCCTTCCCTTGGTATGAGAACTTTACATTGTTGAGCTTGACTTCGCCGAGCGGGTATGGAAGCTCGATTGCATCTGGTTTCTCTACCACCCCTGATGTCTCTTTGAACTAGAATAATTTAGTGAGGTGATTACAAAGGCAATCGAGAACCTACTAGATCGAGCATCCGCTCAGCTTCAATCAAGCTATTCTGTATCATCGTGTAAAAAGTGCCAAAGAAGTTCAGTGGTGCTGAAATCTGGGCAAAATATGTGATTAGAGTGACAAATTCGCTAACCGTCTGCTGGCCCAAGGATATCTTATATGCAGATAAGACAACTATCATGGCTGTACCAAGGCTGAATATTGTGCTCTGGGTCACATTCAAACCATTCAGCGACCACTGAACCAGTCGCTCGGCATGCTGGAATACGGTTATATACTCCTCAAACCTTTTGGTCTCTGAGGCCACAGCGCAATTATGTTGCACAGTCTCATAAGCAATGATAGCATCCGTTCTACGACGTCTTTGTTAGTCACACCCGGATTGAATAGGTGATTGTCACTTACTTTGCAGCCTCCATTTCTCGGCTCTTCGTAGCCATATCTCTTCTTTGCCTCCCGCGGAATTTGGCCATGTAGATTGTGAGGAAGATATATGACCACATTATCACAAGGATAATGAGAGTGTAGAAGGCGTCGTATTTGATGAAGAAGACGACAGACGCCACGAAAATGTCAAATATCATGGGGAAGACATTGAACATAAAGTTCTCAAGGAATGAGTTCATCGCACTACCACGACTAAGTGCGCTTGTTACTTCGCCAATTTTCTTGCTCAGATGAAAATCCATCGATAGTCCAAGAACGTGTTCAAACGCCGCGCAAGATAGTCGACGAAGCAGTGATTGCGATACTGGGATCCAAAGGACAGAACGTCCGGCTCCGATTATTCCTTGTTGACCCTGGAGGCTTCGATAGACTACGTATAGTATTATTTCCTTCCACGGAATGCGGCCGTAACCAAGGGCGGCGACTAGATTTCCAAGCTGGATCGGAACGAGAACATTGATTGCGCGTTGTAATATCATTAAACCAAGACAGATTATGACAATGGCTTGGTATAGGTGGGAGTCGGATGGCCTATGGTGTGTTACATGGACTTTTCTTACATCTTCAAGCTTTCATAACTCACCATAGGTATGGGAACAGGACTCGAAACCCGGCGAAGTAATCAAACCAACCCGCGCTCTGAGCATCGCGAGGTTTCTTGGGTTTCTGTTTAGAGCTATCAGATCCGTAGCCATTGGGGCCATTGCCATTCTCTAGGAGTGACTGCCGTTCCGATTCCGGTCCTTGTTCGGGGCCTTTAAATTCGTACTCCCGGCAAACGAGGAGCGCGATCATGATGCCAAGAGTAACGATCCGTGCCAAACTCAGACCAAACAAGCTATCGAGAAGGCCTAGGGGCACATGTATCTGGTGCTGCTGGGACATGAAAACCGATGCGATCACAACTTCAAGAAGCACGCCTACTACCCATGCGAAGCAATGAGTAGTGATGGTCGGGGTCCAGGGTCCATCGGGATCTGGCAGTAATCCAGCAAGGAAATATAGTAGCACACCTGTGTGAGAGGCCAAATATGCTGTATATGGGAAATTGACATCCTCGGGGATATCATTTCGACGAGCAATAGCAGCGCTCAACGTCAGGACAATGCTGGCCAGCTGGGTGATGGTGAGCATATCAGAGCGGGTGATGGTGACCTATGATGGACAAACCAGTAAAGGGGATAGCAAAAGCTGGAAGATCCATATCAGTTTTGTATACACGCGATGTGCTTTTTGGACCTTCTTCTCGTTGATTGCGGCCAAAGGCTCGTCGGCATCTCGATACCGGTAGCGGATTAATTGTGATGAGAACAAGGTTACGAAGAGGCCGCAAGGGTATAGGTAAAAAGCAATAGCTAACCCCAGCTCTGTATCGGCCATATTGGCGTCACAACTGTCGATCAAGTTGGGTAATGAACACCGGAAGGTTTCAGCAGCATAGTTGAGGTAAGGCGCGATCGATGATGCTGACAACGCGAATTCTGACGACAGGGATGCTTAACAGAATTTCGCGCTAGTACTCGTGTAGCCTCGGCTCGTCGGGACACTCCACTTCTGCTCTTGTTGTATAGCAGTGCGATAGTGACTTTCCTCTTCAATTTATCGTATGGTATAATGATAATGGCAAAATAATCGAGTTAAATTCTGGCTGGTGTACGAATTTTGGAACTCAGACCTGAGGGCTAGGTGTGAGTAACCGGCCATTATACTAATTCTGGGAGTTTTAAAGCTTATCTCTACTAATACTAGGACCTTATAGGCTAGGGGCACAGTGTCACGTGCAAAGCGCATTGATATTTAGTCTATATTTATATGCGGAGCTATATGCGAGGAAAATGAAGCTATTCGTCTGGCGTCAAATTTACACATAGGGATATTAAACATCACAATATACTTGTAGATAAGGAAGGTGACATTGCTAGTCTCCTAGATTGGGAGTCTACTAGTTGCTATCCAGAGTTTTGGGAATACACTATGGCAATGCGATTTGTGCCAAAGAACTTTTGTTGGTATGAGTTTTTGATGGAAGCTGGTGGTGCACAGCGATATTTGGAAGAATCAGAACGTGAGAGGGCGTTGACGAGTTTAACCGCCGATTCGTACTCGTGGTGAAAACGGCACGATACGTTGCAAAAGGGATAAGCTACCATATTACTAAATTCTATTATTTCCTTTTTAAATCTATTGCCAATTAAAATCTAGAAAAGACTTAAAAATCACGTAAAAAAGTTTTAAATGAGGATATACATATCCCAATAGAAGAACCGAGAGATGGAGAGTGGACTAGCGGGGACTGAGTGTTGGCGGGCACGGGGACCTGTAAAGGGTACTTGTCGACTCTTCTTTAGTATCGATAGAGTTTGCTCATAAGTCGATTGATACCGAACAAAACGCCTCGGAAACTTGAGATTTTGACCTCTGTTTTCTGAGGGGTTTCGTTTTGTGCTGATTTTTTAGTGAGCCGAATCTGCGTACCCCTGCTTCGCGGGTTCAAAAACCCGCCCTCTTCTATAAATAGCGGCTCCTGGAGGGGTTCAAATTTGGCTCTCCGCATTCAAAGGGACCGATTCCGGCTCTTAGTTACATATTTCATCCTCTTTATCATCAACGCCGTATATTAACCTCACATTCTCTACGCTGTGAGTAGCCGCTCGTAGTAATTTGTTTAATAAGATAGGATTATCTTATCACGCTCGCACGTAAGTTCCTAACCACACGCCTTCGTATTGAGCAGCATTGAAGCGGCAGCACCGAAGAAGTCGACTAAGGGTCCCATTTGGCATTAAAACCATGACTTGCAAGCTGCGATATCCGTTTTCAGTCCGGAACCGCTATCACGATCATTGCGCTAGAAGTTGAGGAAATCGCCGTTGTAGAGAAGCCAGAGTAGGCTCCTCCTGATGCTAAAAAATCTCTTGCATTTCGTCTACCTAGTATTATGCAGGAGTCCTATTCCGAACGCTGAAGGGGGGACATCGCGCACGAGATTTGGTCACTTCCATTAAAAATATTTGAGAACCCAGTTTTACCTTCCTGAGTTTCAAAAGCATGGGATAATGGGACAGTTGCTGCATTGTCGACTATTTATCTTATCAAAGCTAATATTCGGGTCCTGTGTTTTGCTTCAATACGATCTCCCCTTTTTTGGTTTCCTTCGGTCTACTCGCATGCAATATCTCCCCATTTACCTTAGCCCCCTTAACTAGACCAGTGCTTTATTTGCTGCTCCAATACTTATCTGGCCCTTGAGTGTTGCCCAATCTTGTGTTTCGCCATGTCATAATCGACTGCATTCAATTCGCTAATTCGAGGAATATTTGAGGTATGGGGTGGGTCGGTGGGTCCAGACGGAATGATTGCTCGAGTAGTGAGGTGATAAAGGCCCTGAAGCACTGAGATCGGAGAAGAATTGCCGACTTAAGTGAGGTGGACCTTGGCGGTTTCGGGAGCTCAATACCGATATCGCGTAGAGTAATCTTTAGGGCTGACCACCAATCCACGCCCTTTTTTGGCTCCACGATAAATGGTCTCGATAATGTCGATAAGTTCTTGCTTGTCCTCAAGCACCCAATTCAACTTATTATTATTCCCAGTTCCAAAATCGCACATCATATGCTTGTTTCGAAAGAAAAACATCATTGTTACCGGGTCGTACAGTTCTAGAAGAGAGATATCAGCGCAATCTTGAGAAGAAGACATCTAGACAACGAATATAAAGACAATCCAATAACAGAGGTGCTACTCACCGTACATCTGCTTGAAGTCGGGGACCTGGTCGAGATCGCACACATAGATGACAGCAAAGTTCTTGACTCGATCGGCGATGCCTATAAATATGCAAGATCAATAAGTGTGGCGTGAATGGAAAGAGGAACCTCTTACGGTACAGGACTTCGTCTTGTCTCATGCAATCAGGGTCCCAGTCACGACCGAAGCGGATGATCACCAGCCTTTCGTCCTCGCTCATAATAGCCTGATCGACATGCCAGCCAGTGACGAGATGAGGGAGGACGACGGAGCCCATGTCGGCGAGAAGGCTGATAAAGTTATGGCTTGGGGTTAAGGAAGGGTTGGTGTAGTGGGCGAGCGTACGTGCTTCGAAGGAGTTGTTTGCGGAAGCTGAGCGGTTGTCTAAACTTGGCAGGCAGAAGGGACTCGAAATGTTCTTTGTTAGCCTTGCTGAGTAAGCGAGACTTGCGCTAGCACAGTCACGTGGAAACAACCACCGATGTGAGGGGTTAGCGTGACCCTAAGCGAAGCGCCAGGAGCGAGCGATTATTTAAGGAACCTTGCCAAACGTGTTTCTTAGAAATCAAGTCCTCTGGACCCTGCCCACCCCAGGCCAAATCAATCGACCGGGTATCACCGAAAGTGCGATTTGTGGTGGTCTTAACACTACAACTTCCAAAAATAACACGATATTCGTGATATTTCGGCCGATCTTTATTGTACATATAATTTTTAGAGTCTCTCTAAAGGTTTGTAAAAATCGATAGAATTTTGGTGTTCGCAGGGTAGGTGGGGCACCGTGGGGTGGTTGGTAGCTGTGGTTGGCCCGTGTATCAGGTATAAGAAGAATCAATATGCGTGGCCTCTCGTTGAAGGGAAAAAAGGCCGCTTTTGGCATCATTACTAACACCAAAACATGACTTATATTATTTCGCATAAATCAGCCAATTCTTTTACTGCGACTGTTATCGATTAGATTGCATTTGGGAGCATTGTGCATCTTAATTTATACCTTTTTCAGTTTACTGCGTGTGAGAAGCCGGCGGATAGAGAGATTTTAGTGTTGGCGAGATGCTAAAAGTGGCCTCTTACGTAGCGACGGGCTGGCCCAAAGGCGTCATTGATTATCCACTTGAGAACACCAGAAAAGTGTGAGATTTTTTTTAGAAGCGCTTAGAAAAGTCAGGGCCTTTCCCAAATTTACTGTAAATGGGTCGCAGATTACGAATACCATATTTGTTTTTCTTATTTTACATCGTTGTTGTCAAATTCAACTGTGGGTGGTTGCCCCTCGTTGACAACACGTCGTCCTGCGTGTTAGATGGAGATCACGGCCTGTTTCAGCCAAGTGCCCGAAGTCGCGAGGTGAGGTGGTACTCCCTATATATTCTCAGACCTGCCGACCTAAAACCATCAAGTTTCTTTGACGTGGAAAATCAACTCTCTCTTTCGCTTTCGAATCACAGCCCGTCGCGCCAGGAATGGAAGACGTTACTTACCTTCCTCATTCGACTGCAAACGCATGTAACGAGATTATTCGAAAAGTAGATACCGCCCTTCTCGCTACATCTCCAGGTTCATCAACCCTAAGCACTCTCGATAACTCTAATTGTAACAGAACTATAGTAGCGGAGATCCTCCAAATATCTCGCGGTTTCGACAAAACATTGGTTTCATTATTACCTCTATTAACCACTATGTTCAGTGTAGCGCTTCGCGTTCCGACTTCTCCGAACAAAATACGAAGGGCTATGAAAGGGCAGTCACTGGTAGTTGGATCGGATTTTTTCAAAGCGCTAACCCCGAGGATATCATTGACACACTATGTGACATAATGCCGTATGTTTCCGATTCTAAGGATTTATTTTGCTTTAGCATCTAACTTCTTACCAAGTATAGGAGTTCAATTTATTCTTGGCAGACCAAATCTTGCATCGACCGACCTTTTGCAGCCTCCGAAATACGAAGCCGCAGTTGAATTAGGACTCGCAGGGGCGTATCTTGATGTTATACCCTGCGGTGATGGAACCCTTGGGTTGTATGTCGGTTCCGGTTGCGGGCAAGGCGGTCTTTCCCGCCGTTTTAGAGACTACTTATGCGATAGTAGGATAGAACTCAGCAATTTGCATCGTAAGCTTCTGGAAAGGCCTTTAGCAAGTCTCTACTGCAGATTGCGCTCTTCGTTACTATTTTTTTGCTAATAGTTTCCCAGGCCACCATGAATTTGAAACCAGTGGCATTCCTTCATCCAGATAATTTGTCCCTTTCATAGTGCATACTAGCGGAGAGTGTGCTCATGATCTACTTGGGTATAGTACGAAGATTACGGTATAAAGTATCGGGAATACAGGGCATTATTTTATGAAGGCCACTAAATGCCCTGTAAAGTCTTACTTTAATCTCCCTGTAGCTAGTCCTAGTTACCTGTAAGCCCTGTAAGGGTCCCCTGAAATGTGGCTTACCTCGCTAAATCTCCGATTTCGATTATTTTTTGATGAGTTTGATTCTATCTTATAAAAATAACTATCTAATATATAATCACTTTCTCTTGACCCTTATTCCTACCTTCTTTATACTTATTCCCCCCTTATCTCCTTTATATAATCAGGAATTGCTATAATCCACTCTTGAATCTTGCTCTGGGAAAGGTCTTCCTAGTATTTCTCCCACCTTACTTTCTATAGGAATTATTAGTGTATTTAAAGATGTTTCTATTAATTCTATGGGGATTCTAGTTCTGGTAACTATAATTATATTATTATATACCTCCTATTAGCCCAATAAATACTATCCTTGAGAACTTTATATATTCTCATATAAACTAATAATAAGATAAGGAAAACGTATTTAATAAATAATATAAAGAGAAAGGAAAACGTATATAATAGGGTAGTTAAAGATAAAGGAAAATACGAAATTCTAGTAAAATAATTACCTAGCCCTAGCCAATTATAAAATATTAATACTAGTAGTCCGGACCATATAATTATACCGAGGTTATTAATTACTTATAGAAGATATAACCAGATATACTTATCTTATTAATAGTAAAGGTATTTATAGTAAAGGAAAATATATATATATGAAAATACTATAATAGTACTTAAAAATATAAGGAAAGGAGATATCTCGTATCCATAATAAAACGAATTTATAACGAGATATTATAGGTATAGTAAATATATAGTAAATTAGTACTTGACTTTTTTAGTAGGAGTTCCTTTATAATAATTAAGAATTATCCGAACTTTATTAAATATTAGAAGTATATTAATAGAGAGCTAGTTATATTATTTGTACTTTAGCTTCTTGAATAATAATAGATATCTATACCTATATAGGAATAATATAGATAATTCGGAATCCGATTCAGAAGATAATATAGAAGATAATAAATCGAATAGAATTATAATAGGCTTCTTTATCTTTTGCTTCTTTTTGCTATATTTCTTATTGAATTTTGCTATCTTATACTTCTATAATATTATAAAGTTACTGCCTATATATTTCTAAAGCTTGCAAAAATTATCTTTCTAGGAAAATATACCTGCCTTTATTATATCTAATATATAATAATATATATGGCTCTATAAAGGTACTATTAATTAGCCCTTCTTTAATAGTACTTTTCCTTGGATATAGTCGGACTCATTAGATAATTATTTAATCTTGGTATCCTTGGTTATATACTGAGAATATTAAGAATTAATAGCTTTATTATTTTTTGCAGGGGATATCTCGATCTCTCTAGCTTTGCCCTTAGAATTAGCCTTAATTTGCGGGATATTAGCCGAGAAATCGTTAGAATTATTAACTATTGCCTTTTTTATAAGTGATTTCTTGCTTATTGCCTTCCTGCTTCCCGGAAGGCAATTATATTTCCTTTTATTACCTATTATAATAGGTTCTTTATTAGATAGGATAGCTCTAGTAGGATTAGTAACGGATTAGTTATTAATATATAGTAGGTAGTCCTGTTTAGAAAGAAGATACAAGTAATTAATAATGAGATATAGATAGATATATAGGTTATAGGCTTAATGAGTTTTAAAATACTCGAGATATTATTTATTAGGGAATAAACCGATCTCTAATATATATAAGTAGTCCTTATTATTCTCGGCTTATAATAGCTTATAGCCAGTAATTAGGATATTGCTATATTAGTAAGAAGTACTTATATAGTACGAATATAATACGAGATTTAAGATATATAATATAAAGGCAAATATAAGTACTATAAGTATAAATAATAGAAAGGTTTATTAGTAAACATAATATATATAATAAATCGAGGGTTAATAAATTAAGGTAATAATAAATTTGAATATTAATAATACTTTTAATACTATTAGTAGAACCAAACCCTTATATAAGAGGGATTTTATAAATGCCGTATCGAGGTATGAGCTCTTTAATATAAGACCGGTAAGGCTATTAGTTTTTCTTTATATTTCGTAATAAGCTTATAAATATCTTAGAGAAGTTCTAGAAAATACTAGTTATTATATTAGTTTCTATAACCTTTAAACTTAATAAAATATTTAATATAATTCTTTCTATTATACTATATAATATATCGGTTAACTATATATTCTAACTCGTATATTTTCTATTTATTATTATTATTCTAACTCTTAAGGGGCTTCTAAATATTAGGAAGTAGTTTTTTAAAGAAATTATTACTAAATAGTATTAGTACCAAATATATAATTAAGATTACCGGATAGATCTTTTAATAAAGGGGCAGATCTAATTTATATACTAGCTTCCTGATTTTCTTTCTAATATAAAAGAGGCCTGTTCTTTATTTAGAAATCTTATAGTTCGGTTTTCCGGGTAATTAGTATTTCTTATATAGTTTAAAATATACTATATTACTAATATTTAACTTAATAGAAGTATATTATAAATTATAGTATTCCTTTACTATATTAGTAGCAAATTCGATAGCTAATTTAGTATTAATATACCTTAAATTCCTAATAACTTCTGAGATTCTATTATTATCTAAAGCTAGAAAAAATAAAGAAGTATTTGCCTTTAATTCTTATATAACCTCGTTTGAACTATAGCTAATAGGATATAAAAGGGTATTATTAAATACTGCTTATAAAAGGATTATATTTATAGATTATACTTAATTAGAGAATTTATATATATAGTACCGGATTGCGATTTCTATTTACTAGTTTTTAATTTTAGATTAGCTATTAGATTATAGGTATTAAGCTATAGAAAATAGTAACTTTATATTTATTATAGCCTAAATTACTTTCTATAAATCGGATATAAATTTCGAATTATAATTAGTAATAAATGCTTTAGAAATGCCTTAGTTATAAAATAAAAGTATATAAAGCAAAACAATAGCCTATTCCTTAGTATTATAAGTATTATAGCCTGGAATTAATAGTAATTTCTTATTAAATTTATATGTATTTATTATTATATAATTAAAAATATTATATTTATTAAGTATTTATAATATAATTACTAGAACTTCTAATAAGGCTAAAATGAAATCTATAATAATTATATAAAAAGAAAGTAATAAGATAATAATGAGATATAGTATACTATTCGGGCGGGTTTTCTATATATTATTTACTAGATAGCTAGAGTAAAACTTAATATAATTAAGAACCTTTTTTATTAAACAGGGAATATAAAAACTATAAAACTTATTATAAGTATAATTAAAGCCGAAATATTAGTTATTATAAACTATAGATAATAAAGTCTTTATATAATATAAGGTATATATAATTATAGAGCCCTAGATAGCGAAATATAATAAAAGAAACTGCTTTTAATTTCGAAGTTTATACTATATATCTTGGAAGAGAAATTGCCTTCTAGAACTAATTTAAGAAAACCTAATAATTATAGAATACAGGCAAAATAGAAGTTCTTTATATATTTCTTATAAAACTCGGTTCTAAAGTTATTACTTATATTTAATTTAGAGAATATATATATATTATTAAACTTATTATTATAAGAGATATTATAAGACTCGAATATAATAAAATATAATAAGGTATTAGGAATAATATTTAGTTTATTAGAAATATAGCAGATATTAAGTTAATATTATAATAAGTACTATAAAGTAATAATAAATCTTATATTTGCCTTATTTATATTATTTATTACTAATAATATTTGGTTATAAATATCTCTAATAGTAGTATAATTAGTTAATATAATAACTAGATCCTGAACTAATTAGAATATTATATATAGTTTATAATAAGTATATAGTAAATATATTATCTTAAGCTTAGTAAATTTATAGTTCTTTTCTATTATACTTAGAAGCTTATTAAGAAATAGTATTAGTTATATAACTATAGATATAATCTTACTAAGATCTAAAAGAATAATATAATTCTACTTGAAATAGAATACGAGAATACCAAAACCTCTCTTATTTAAAGTATTAATTTTGAGATATAACTATCTTATTAGATTATAGTAAATGAGTACTTTAAGATCTAATAAATAGCTTTTAATAGACTTAAATAAAGCAACTTCTTTTTTACTAGATTCCTATTTAGTTCTTACTATATATCCTTTTCTTTTTATCCTAGTTATATCTTATTTATAGCTAATTATAAGTAACTTTATCTTTTTCTTTTATAATAGTTTAATTATTTTTATATAATATAAAATAAATTAGTAAAGCTAACTAGTTATTTCAATAAAGTATTCTAGTTACTAAAGGTTCTCCGGAAATTATATAGCTTTTATAATAGCTATATATTTCTTTATTATATTTATTCTAAAGCTATTAATATAATAGCCAAATAGCTTTATTAATAAATATCCTAGAAATGTCTTTTTCTAGAGAATAAGATATGTTTCTTCTTAAATAAATAAAGAATAATATAAAGATACTAAAGATATTTCTGGAATAACTTGAAAAATATAATAATATTATTAATAAAATAATAGTAGAAATAACTATAGCTCTTTAAAAGGCAGTTTATAAAATATTAAATATATATTAGAGAATTATAATAACTTATAAGAGCTATCTTAAAAGTTTCTTATCCCTAGTAAGAGATTATAATAAAATGCTTTTAATATTTTTCCTTAATAAGGAATTAATAGAATAATAATAATATATTTATAATAGAGATATATTTGGCTCTCCTAAGTATATTAATAATATTCTATTATAATAATATAAGATAGTTATTAGGGATTTTGAGGCTATTAAAGACTTTTAGATTAATAACTAGATATTCTTTAGATTTCCCGTTAATATTTTTCCAGATAATAAATACGGGCTAACCGAAAAAATAGTACTTTATA